ATCCATTTTTGTGTCTTTGGGTATATGCAAAGAAGCAAGAGAGAAACATAAAACATCAAAATTATCGGCCGGACAAAATCTACAAATGAGTCTAAATAACAAAACATTAATATCCTTTAATTAAAGATTCTTTTTAACCAATTTAAATGTTTTCCCAAATACATTGAAAACTTTTATTATGTCAAATCTTAATGATAGAGAAATAACATTCACCGATGTGTTTTGCAGTTGGTGATATATATGTAAGGGTTAGACAGGAGACAATTAGTAATTCGCTATTGTAATATATCTAATCACTATTGTAATAGATTTTTGTAAAGATCTTGAGTGTAACCCGGCGGGTCTCACATGTAGAAAAGAAACTGCTTGCCCTTCCAGAGCACATAATTGCACCTTGGCTTCGATTTTTTATGGGATTCGTGTTGTGTTGCTCAATCTTAGACTAAGTGCTCTGAGTACTAGCCTAGCTGTTTTCAGCGAGACAAGATATTGGCCCCCGTTTTTTCAAAATGGTGCATGTAAATCAAGGGAGCACGATGTAAGCCTTTTCATCTCGGAGAGTTTTGAAAATCTGAGTAATGACAAATGTGGGAAATGAAACAAGAGGAAATCGTCCAAATTTTAAACACAATTATTAATGGGATGCAAGAGTTGTCTAAGAAACATGCAAATAAGATGATCAAAATCTTTATAATTTTGTTATACAGAACTGACAGAAACTTCTTTTTTAAATACATTTTGGCGTTTGAAGGATACAAAAGTTATTCTAGATTGTATAAAAAACCTTTAGATAAATTATGAGACATTATATATTACAACAGAAAAAAAGTTAAACAAATTAGTAAGACAAAAATTTAGAAATGTACCATAAAAGGATATAGATAGCATCTTGGAAACAGAAAAAAAACAATATCATGAAGAATTATCGAAATCCGTATAAATACTTTCTGAGACGTAACAGAAATTCTGATGCTAGATTAAATATAACTCATAAGGAAATTGTTTGAATACTTTACAAGGAAATTATATTGAAATAAATCATCGTTTTTTTTTTCCATGATAATAACGTTATTGGTCAATTTAACTCTGATATATACTTAATCATGAAATGTATAACAAATGAGGAAGTTATAATTGCACTTAGGGGATTAAAAAATAGGAAATTTTGGACTCTTTTGTATAGTTGTCTCACAAACAATCGTACCACATCTCCTTATTTTGTGTTTGTCGCTATGTTTGATAGGTCATGTGATCCGACTGAAATATATGATTAAAGATGATTTTGACTGTTATACATGTATGTATATGACCTTATATTCATAATGGAATCAGAATCTTGATAACAAGGTTGAGACAAACTTCATACTTACTGTGATTAGTGGAATTTGACTGTTTAACTAGTTAAAACTAATGTTATGATTTTAATAAGTCAAGTATATAATTATATATATATATCTTTATCCTCAACACCAAATACATAGGTACAGAGAAGACATGTAATATAATACATTAAATACACAAACATAAATGTACAATATATACACCAACAACAACAAAAAACAAAAAGAATTTATTCAGGAGGACACACTTGCTTGTTTATAATTCGTATAAACTTACATAAATTTATAAGATCTGTCCTATTTGTAGACGACATAATTTCAGTAAATAGTATAATAAAGTAGAATTCTCAAAAACTACAATGATTAATTCATTAATTATTAATTATATAGTTTGCTTGACCAAAGAATATAGGTATTTGGCAACGTTATTTAAACCGTCACAAATCTTTTTATAATACAGTTAAACATATGTGTAAAAAAGCATCAAAAGCAATGTTTTTCATTAGAAATCTTTCATTCTGATGAACTTAAACATTATCCACATTTGAAACTGTTGGAAAGTTGTTTGAAACCTATACTTCTATATTGCAGTGAAAAATTGGCACTTAATATGCTAGATAGAGTCAATTCTAGTTTCTTTAAATCCCAATTTAGATTTGAAAAAATTCTTGGTGTTAATAAAATCTGCAGTTTTAGCAAAACACATCATGTTTAATATTGCTATTGATGCTATTTGGTGAATGCAGTAGTAAAAACAAGAATGTGTCCATAGTACACGGATGACCCACTCGATCTATTATTTTCTGTGTTCAGTGGACCGTGAAATTGGGGTCAAAACTATAATTTGGCATTAATATAAGAAAGATCATATCATAGGGAACATGTGTACTAAGTTTCAAGTTGATTGGACTTGAACTTCATCAAAAACTACCATGACCACAAACTTTAACCTGAAGCGGGTGAGACGGACGAACGAATGAACGGACGCACAGATAGAAAAACATAATGCCCCTAGGTGTAGCATAAAAAAAACTATGCTTTTGTTCAATAGTAACGACTGGGGTCAAGAAATATGGTCATCCCTGAACTTCTACCTTCTTGCAGTAAGAGAGGTGTCCATTTGGCTCTGCAGGATGTATAAATACACAGCCACATCTGATCGGAATGAAGACGTTAAATCAGATTCCTCGTGTAAGGAGAATGCCAGGCTCTTCCGTGTTAAGAACTCTTGGAGCGACTGTGGGGGTCCATAGGTGGTCTGTTACAAGGCAAAATGTCTGTTCCTATCCAACACGCTTTCATCAATATATAGTGGCAGTGTAAATTGCTCGTCCTTAATTCCTGTAGACCAACCTTGCATGACCTACATAATGCACGGCCTATTGATTTAATTGTTATTCTCCTCCTTTATTTATGCATGAAATCTTTACCACTGGACTTTCAACCAACAAAATTCAATCAATCTAATGTTAATAAAATTGAGAATGGAACTGGGGAATGTTTCAAAGAGACAACAACCCGACCAAAGAGTGCATTTTTGTTGCAATTGTGCATTATCTTATGTTATGGTTTTGGTCTCTTATAAAAAGCAAGACCAATACCGGGTCTGGACCTGCGTCGCTGCATGCAATTGAGATTGCATGTTAACCTGAGCATAACTGATATAAAAAAAACAAATTTTAAAACTATTCACTTCAAAAGGAGCAAAGACAAGTCTGACAAAAAATGTCCATGTACAATGAGTGTTGTAAATTTCAAACCATCGACAAACTGGAAGTGGCTATACGGCAGATGTAAAAACGGCTTACCTGCTACATCTCAACAGTATCAAGGCGCATACCAAAAATTAAATTATTCCCTTCCATTGAAGCCAAGAAAAGTTTGACAAAAATTTTCCATGTACAATTAGTGTTGTAAAATATCAAACTATCGGAAAACAGAAAGTGGCTACATGACAGATGTAAAAATTGCTTACGCACTAGAACGCAACATTTTCAAGCTATAGACCCAAATATTATATCATTCCCTATCATAGAAGCCAAGAAAACTTTTACAAAACATTTCCTTGTTCAATGAGTGTTGTAAAATTTCAAACTATCGTTAATAAGGCATTAACTGTCAAATTTTTGTTCACCAAGTTCACATGAATACGGATTCAATGAGATCGTATTATTCACTTGCAAGTGAATAATTAATCAACGATTTTTCTTGGCTTATTTTGACAAAATTGATGCAAACTGGCTGCTAAAAGCGAATTATTATTTCACTATTTCACTTTCAATATTGATTAAAAAAATGTGGTAAACTCGGTAGAACTCAACATATCAAGATGCACACCAAGTATTAAATCATTCCCTTTTATAAAAGCCAAAAAAAGTTTGACGAAAGTTTTCGTTGTACAATGAGTGCTGTAAAGTTTCTAAGTACTCGCTATAACTTAACATAATCAAGCTGGAAAATTCTCTTTAATATAAACCAAAAACAATTTGACGAACGTTTTCTTTCGGACGGATGAAAAGACAGGCGGACAGAGTTGAGCGGTTCCTAGGCGTGCTTGTGCCTTCGGCGACGCAGGTAAAAAGAGGCGGAAGGTACCAAGAGGACATTCAAAGCTCATAAGTCGGGATAAACTAACAAAGACATGGCAAAAGACAAAAAATGACGAACAAGTCCAGCATTACAGCCTTGCTAAAGTTGGATGTCATTTCGGCTGTGCGGGGTGTATAAATACTAAGCCATATCCTGCCGGAATGAAGTTCATATAATGACTTTCATAAGTGCATTTCAATAAAAGTCATCATTGACACATTTGTGTGTGAATTTCTTCATAATTCAGCACTCCATCAAAATACTGATAATGTCATGTCGGGAATTACTTATAAGACAATATTTTGATGAGATACCATAATATTAATTTGACGGACATGGTTATATTTATCTAAACGGGATAACTATTTATTCAAGAACTCATATATTTATAAATAGAATATCTTATTATTTAGCTAGAATAACATTAGAAGTTGAATAAATATTAATTGTACGAGGTTTATTAGCAAACATTTTGGGACGTTTTGAAATTTCTTAATTAAGTGTGTATTCAACCTTAATTCAATTTATTTTAGAAGTTTTAACACAAATTTATCATAACTCTATAGGCTTTTTATATGCGAAAATCTGGGTGTGTACGCATAAGTTGAAGTTTTGCAGATTTGAAAGGTAAACGGAGAACTCCAGATCTAAATTATTAACTTGTATATGAAATGCATATATACTTTGAATGTGAATCAAGTGAAGGTTAACAAATCTGGAAAGAAAACATTCGTGAAGCAATTTCAATTGTTAATCATATCCAAATAAACAATTTTGGTGAAATCCACTTAACCTTTTGATATGTTTAACAAGAAGATAAAAAGCTCGACACAATAGGCATTATTCTTAATACTACTATCTTACAAAGAAGACATGTAATAAAGACATTTTTAAATATTATCAAACACTTCACCGTTCAATATCGGTACAGACTGATAACTTTAATTTACTCAACGACAAGAATTTGTTTGCATATATATAGAAGAAATTCCTATCTATGGTCTACCGTTTTTAAATACCCTCTGTCTAATTTGGTCATTAATAAAACAATTGTAAACATGTATTTGAAATGTATACAATAAGGCCGTGACGCGATCGGATATTTTAACTTGGTTGAGCAAATTACAACGAAGTTATAACAAGAGTAGCGAACCAAGACGCTAGTTTATATCATGTTCCGTTACACACTAGACAATCATTTGAACAAGCATATGGAATAAATGAAATGGTATGTAATTTTTATAAATATATTTGTTTGTTTTTAAAACGGGTAATACTAAAAGTGTACATTTTTCGATGTTTTATTCCTTATACTATTTCTTTCGTAACTTTATTTTTTTTATTTAAAAAAAAACCACGACTTATCAGAATATAATACACAGTCATTAAAAAATGCCATGCTAAACCAAAAATAAAACAATAACAGTAATACCAATGATTACAATAAGAAATCATATTTTTCTTTATAAATATCTATTGTGACGGATAATGTCTTAATGTTTATGTATTTATACATTCTTTTGGTCTTTTTCCATCGCGACCTTTTTGTAATTAACAATGTGTTATGAGTTAAATGTTGTCTAAAATACCTTTTTTTTGCCTTCTTGCATATATCGGAAATGGAGTAAACCACTCATCAAAGTTACCAGGGCTGATATGCATAAAACTACTTAAGATTTGTTCCGAACGGACGGATTTTTCTACATGTCCTACGATATATTAGTACTATACGATTGGATATCTTAACTTAAGTGGTTTTATGCATATTAGCCCAGGCTTTTATAATTTTTTACGCCAGACTCTAGTTTCGTCTGCAAAAGACTCGTTTGTAACGCTCGAATCAAATTTATTGAGACCAAATCAAGAACGAATTTGAAAAGTATTGAGGACCATCATTCCGTAAACGGTTCCCGAATAATGGAAACCGCAAAAAATCTAAATGTCAGTGGAGTGGAAAAAGAGATGAAATTGACTCATTTTAATTGTAAGACGGGTGTTCATAGATGGCGTTGGCAAAAAAAAGTATGCAATATGTCAACTATAAACCCCTCAATAGTTTTGCAAAGGTTTCAGAAAATGACAGTATTTTTAAATCCCTCAACGCAAAACGCTAGGTGGGAGTGAATTTAAAAATCCATCATAATTTACACTCCGAACGCGCGTTTTGTCTACAAAAGACTGATCATTGACGCTAGAATAAAAATCAGTTGATTTATAAATACGACCATATCAATGATATTTCATGTCAACACAGTGGCGCTGACTACTGGGCTAGTGAGAGTAAGTGACTGTTTATTTATTCATCCCTCAAAGCCACACAGCAGGTGACGGTGTATGTATAATACATACAATACATCCCCCAAATCCACACAGTAGGTGACGGTGTATGTATACATACAATTTACATTCCTCAAAGCCACACAGTAGGTGACGGTGTATGTAAACATACAATACATCCCCCAAAGCCACACAGTATGTGACGGTGTATGTATACATACAATACATCCCCAAAGACACACAGTATGTGACGGTGTATGTATACATACAATACATCCCCCAAAGCCACACAGTAGGTGACGGTGTATGTATACATACAATACATCCCCAAAGCCACACAGTAGGTGACGGTGTATGTATACATACAATACATCCCCCAAATCCACACAGTAGGTGACGGTGTATGTTTACATACAATACATCCTCAAAGCCACACAGTAGATGACGGTGTATGTATACATACAATACATCTCCCAAAGCCACACAGTATGTGACGGTGTATGTATACATACAATACATCCCCCAAAGCCACACAGTATGTGACGGTGTATGTATACATACAATACATCCCTCAAAGCCACACAGTAGGTGACGGTGTATGTACGTTTCTCGTTTTTTATATAGATTAGACCGTTGGTTTTCCTGTTTGAATGGCGTTTTGTCTACAAAAGACTCATCATTGACGCTAGAATAAAAATCAGTTGATTTATAAATACGACCATATCAATGATATTTCATGTCAACACAGTGGCGCTGACTACTGGGCTAGTGAGAGTAAGTGACTGTTTATTTATTCATCCCTCAAAGCCACACAGCAGGTGACGGTGTATGTATAATACATACAATACATCCCCCAAAGCCACACAGTAGGTGACGGTGTATGTATACATACAATACATCCCTCAAAGCCACACAGTAGGTGACGGTGTATGTATACATACAATACATCCCCAAAGCCACACAGTAGGTGACGGTGTATGTTTACATACAATACATCCCCCAAAGCCACACAGTAGGTGACGGTGTATGTATATATACAATACATCCCCCAAAGCCAAGGGAAGGGGTCAGACACATTTTGAAACGCTGTCTGACTCGTCACATTTCATTGTATATGCAAGCAAGTTTTCAAAGTTATAGAGTTAAAACGGAACCGTTCGCATATTTTTTTTTCTTTCCATGAATGAAGTAATACTAAATCTTATAGTTGATCGATGCCAGCATCTATTCTTAAGAAGATACCCTGGTTCACTCTAGACCCACACATTAATTCGGAATTTTACCGTGGTAATTCACATGGTGACAGTCCGCATATTAACCTACCTGGACAAATTATTCTAACTTCGAGCCAATCCGCATTTGCCATGACCCTAAATGCCGCAATCAGACGTCCGACCTCCCGCACTAGAGATGAGCATGCTTATAACGAGGGTGTCTCTTTCATTGATGGATCCTATAATGTTACTCAAACTGCAAACAAATTCTACTTTTCATAACTATAGTTTGTTCTTTAAAAAGAGAGGCGAAAGATACAAAAGGGATATTCAAACTCGTCAAAAACAAACTGGTACCATGGCAAAAAACGAAAAACGACCAGAAGACAAACAATAGTACACAAAACACTAAAGACAGAGCATCACGACCACTGTAAATTACCAAAAAAAAAATGAAATCGATAATCAAACGTTTGTGATTCTTTAACAAAATAAAGTTATTTTCAATTTTTCGCTGTGTGAAGCTATTTTATAATTTAAAAGTACTGATTTAAATCAATGAAAGCTTGAATAGTATGCGATACGCTATATGATAAGCTTGTCTCATTTGGTAATTTAATCAAAATAGATAGACACAAGGTTTACTTTCAATTACGTGTCATTTTCTTGATAATGTTGCTTTGTTTAGATATTGAAAACTCCCAAAAGTTACTGCATGCCTTTTGTCACCTGCATACAATATTACAATTTTTATGTTCATTGAAAATGCTGACAACTATTATTCATCTATTATGTAACAAGTGCAAAAATCTTATCACCTTATTATTTTGTTTATGATACATGTACAAAAAGTAGACCTTGAACAAACGCACAGTCAGTCATGGTATCATCAATATTGAAATACATTTTCCTTTAAACTCAACTTTAAAAAGAGGGAGCATATCTTTTTTTTTACTAGCCAAACTAGTATTAAACTAACGTCTCGTTTAACCACGTAATGGATTTCTAACTAAACAGCAGTAATGGCCAGTATAAATTCAATAGCATGCTTATGCAACATAATACTTTTATGGGTAGATAATTGTCAAATTATGCTAGTATAAAAGAAACTACACGATTTTGCTTTTACGTGCTTTAAACATGTCATTTGTTATAATTAATTAACGGTGTGAATTTTTCAAGGTTGAAAAGGTCTTTGATCTTCAATACCCAATTATAATAAAATAAAAAGTCGTAATAGTTTGTTTTCGATTTACCCACGACCTAAATAATTATGGAGTTGATTATTTACTCTAAGTAGGATAATAGTTCGTAGATTCTGTTTTCTTGTTCAATCATCAATTATGATTGATTCATTAACTGTTAATTGCATATAACGTTTAGTAGCAAATATGCCATGCATATTCAGCATATTCAGGACGAGAACAAATCATTGAGTAAATCCAACCCGGTTCAGAAACCGGGACGAAGGGCGGGAAATTCATTCTACCACTGGAAAATGAAAATGTTGTTGGATAGGCAAATATACCTTCCAAGCCCTATAAGGACTACTCAAAGTGTTGTTGCAAATTAACCACACAGAGAGCGTGGCAGTCTCAATACATGAAGCAAAGAATTTAACGTAATTTCATTCTAAGCGGACGTGGATGCGTATTTATAACATCCCGCATAGCCTTATTAACATGTGTTTTCAAGTTTATTTCGAACACATTCTGACTCTATATTTTTTGTGTATTCGTTGTATTCTGAATTCTCTTCAGTCTTATTTTTTTATTTTGTATACTTTATTCTGTCAATGTTCGGGTTTTTTGTACAATGTTTGGTTTTTTCTAAGCAAATTGCTAAATTTTATACTCTTTATCTATTTCTGTATTCTGTGCACATTCTTGAATTCAAAATTCTCTTCAACTTAGTAACGCAGATTATTTGCTGACGTTCTAAGTCTAGTCTTACGGCGTTGAGTATGTGAAACCAATAAACGTAGCTGATTTTAATATACTAGTAGTCTTATCTCTTGACAATGTCAAAAGTTTGAATCTACGAAATAATTGAATTAGGTAATCAATAATGTCAGAAAATATCGTGTAGTCGCAAAATGGGGATGATTTATTATTTCATTCGTCCGAGGTAACCACTTATTAGATGACGATAAAGATAATACATTGGTGGTTAAGGAAGTTCTTGTTTTTTCTAACTTTTTGTCAGATATTTGGAATCCTCTAATTTTATCAATGTACAATGATGTAGTGCCAAGAAAATTTTGTCCTGCCAACCCCTACTTTCTTTCTATTATTATTACACATAGTTTAAAAGGCCATTTTTGAAAATCTTATAGAATCCTTGAAATTTTTTCATAGTTTTTATAAGAAAAAAGGTGCTAATGATAAATTTACGAAAGATCTAGAGAGAATCATTGCCCGCCAAATTTTCAATTGATTGTATCTCAAAAACTTTTTACGTGCTGTTTCACAATGTAACAGTCCACCGGTAGACATGTCATCCTACTCTGACCCCGGGCCGACCTGTCTTTCCTCTTACTTCTTGAAAATAGAAAATGAAAGGATATGGAGTAAATTTACATGGGACAAAATCGCACACAATACATAGAAAACATGGAAAATTATCAATGAACAGGGCTTTTATTCCTGTTCTTCGTCTTGGCAGTTGATGTAGGGTCTTCAACAATGAACGAATCATTCATACCCTACAACAAGGTCCTGCTTAATGGAAAAGCAGTAAATGCCAGTTATTATGACTTTTGTTCGAACCGGCCGTTGATCGAATCCACGAGCTCCCGCACTCAATGTGTAAAAACAACACATGTATAGCTTTTAATAAATACTTTACAAATGCAGATTTAACAGATTTTGTTACAAAATCCACAAAAACCAGATCAGTTCATACATTCAACGGTCAATCTGAATCATGATCATATTTACACAGCATACGTTATCTTGATTTTGACAGGATGACAATAAAACCAAACCGGCTACAATACAACTTAACAATCAACAGAAGGGGGACCTCCGACAAGCTTTTGATCTGTTTGATGCTGATGGTTCTGGGACTATCGATGGAAGTGAATTAAAGGTAAGAGAAAAAAAAACATTCTTACAAAAAAGCCTTGAATTTTTAAAGTTAGAAGTTGTAACGTGCACAATGGTTACCTATATAAACATATAGAAATTAGATCATTAGAACTTATATCTAACTTTATAACATCGTTAGGATGTGTAGTTATCGGTTGTAAGCAAGGAATCTCCGATTCGGGTATTTTACATTGTCATAACGATTTACCAAATAACCATACAAAAGTGCATACAGATCGCTATACATAAAGTTCGAATAGACACATGGTTATTTTTATGCCCCAGTAACTGTTTCCAATTGCAGTCAAACTTGTCCTCACTTCATTCCGATCGGCCGACATAACAGAACCTTTATATTGTTTTAATTGTTAATGTGTTCTCGTCATGAATATGCATGCAATATTTTGAAATGGACTTTAAGTAAGCAATATTTAATCAATAAATCTACATATGCTGTATAATTACTATGATAACTTTAAATTTGATACGGATTCCTCAACTGTGCATAGAAAAAATGATGAATTGTGTATCTCATTGTATGAGAAAAAAGAGGCAGAAATATACCAAGGGGATATTCAAAACTCATAAGTCGAAAAGAAACTGACAATTATGTGAGTGCTTTTCATTACTTAAACAGTATTGATGGTTTCGCGGGTAGACCAAGAATAAGTTCGTAGTGCATAGATTCTTTATAACGTTAACGCAGCACACATGGTGCATTAAATATCATTTAAAGCTGCAAATTATGAGTTTAACATATATTTAAAATTAGTGAAAGGTTATTGCTTAATATTATGATTTTTGTTATAAGTTTTTTTTTTTAACTATTTCCCTTAATACAATACGGTAACTGTTTTTTCAGATAGCACTTAGAGCGTTGGGCTTCGAACCAACAAAAGAAGAATTAAAGCGATTGGTGGCGGAATGTGACAAAGACGGTAATGATAGTTTTTTTCTTTAATAATTTTGATAATTTTGTAAATTAAAAAAAAAAACTTTCCCTCTCCCTCAAGCAAAATATTGCTATTTTGGAAAGTCCCTTTTGTATTATGTTGTTTCTATTACATTGCATTCGTAAATCTTTGATCTTTTAAACTCACGGGACAGGATTCGTTAGATTCTGCTTAAATGAATCCAACTACTACATGTATGTGCATTTTCCCACCAATCATTGAAATATTTTAAACTAATTTGAATAGTATGTCAATACATGCAACATTTTGGGTTAGTTGAGTTGTGAAATATAGTAATCCATGCATGATTTTTTCTGTACAACAGTATAAGAGACCACGCAAATCAACAACAACCGCTTCCTCCTAAAAAAGACTTTTAAACAAAAACAAAAAAAAACAACAAAAAAACATGGTCTAGAGGCAAACTTTGTACAAATAAAACACGTGTGGTTGAACATGGAAATAAGTATTCTTAAAATATATTTGCAGGCCTTCTGGACTTCAACGACTTTCTGAAAATAATGTCCGACAAAATGACCGGTCCAGATACAAAAGAAGACATGTTAAAGGCATTTGATCTGTTTGATTATGAAGAAAATGGTAAAATAGCAAAACATAATGTTATGCAAATAGCTGATGAGCTTGGACTTACTCAGACAGAGAAAAGAGCGAAAGAGCAGGGATTAGATCTACCTATAACAGAATGGGAAGTAGATGTATGTATTAAATATGAAACAGCATGTTATAAATCTCATGCGTCCGAAGCGCTTGTTTGGATTATCTTCATCAGGAACGCTCAAAGCCGAATATTTGAAAGCCAAGGATGTATAAAAACCGAAACAGTTAAAGAGCTACTAATATATGACCTAAAAGGGCCTATAAATTTCACTTTATGAATGGGGTACATAAGGAAAATATGTGGATACACATAAATGTATCGGTTATTGGACGTATAAGATGTTGTGTTCTAAATTCATTGTTGTTGGTTGCTTAAGGTCCAGTGGCAAATATTTCATGCATGTTTAGGAGGAGAAAAAATAAACAATACATGCAATAGAAAGGTCTTTTAGACGGGCCGGGTCGACTGGTATGAAGGGCGGGAATCTTGGACTGCTACTGGAAAATGAGGTTCAATTGGATAAATTTTACTGCTGGTCGGATAAAGATCAAGTGACCGTATTTTTATTAGATGCATCCAAAACTCTATTCTGGATTTACCTTCATCAGGAACGTTCAAAGCAAAGAGGTTTAGAGCAAATGATGAGGGTCAATGATGTATAAGTTCTTGAAAACGTGAGGACCAAGTAGAACCTAAAAAGAATAGACAGATCCATTTTATGCCAACTTTGTCTGGTAGTGGTACTATATCTTTATATATACACAAACACTAAATTTGGAATCAAAGAGGAACGTCTCAAAAATAAATCATTCCATTCTGAGAAACTGAAGAAAAAAAAATGTAACCCAACGCTGGCTAGTCGATCTCGTCACGCTTCTCTTACGAGAGAAAGGTAGAACATTTCATACATAAAATATATGTGAGGCTGCAAATAAATGCTACAACAAACCAAAATACATAGACATTTCAAGTCTTATAAGTTTATAGCGCTATAAACACAATGTAGAACGCATTCCAGTCGTCTGGCATATATTTCTGTCCCAAAAACATCTATGATACGAGGCCCTGTGGTTAGACGGATTTTTAGGAATGCCTTACAAGGTACATGTGAATTGAAAATTTCCCGAGAAAAATACTTACTTTATTAAATAAAACTACGTCAAATGAATACTAAATGGTATTTTTTTTTCTCAGGAAATGGTCGATGGTGCTGACAGAAACAGAGATGGTCTAGTTAGTAAACAAGAATTTTTGAAAATTTTAAAGACAGAAAAAAATTAAATTAACTTTGTTCTATTTCATTTTTTATTTTATTTGTAAGTGGTACATTATAAAAGTTAGAAAATATTGTATTGCATGATAAGAATGAATGGAGGAGGTTGCTTTCTATGCAATATCCACTGTTTTCAATATGTTTGTTCCACCTTGATGATTTGCGTATGGTGACGCATATATTTTGCAGACCCAATTTGGCCATGGCTGTTGTGTTTTATCTTATATGTAGTCAGTCTGCTTTGTTTCTCTTAGGAGGTGAAATTTTTGGGGTATGAATTCATCTGCAAGTCCGTCTCCAAATGTTGCAATCCGTTTAGGTCGTTTTGTAGGGTGTCAGTAGGATTCCCCTAATTTCTTATTTGATGGTACAGAATAATGATCGTCTGCAAAAGGGCGTGCATTTCCAATGTCTACAATTGTTGACGTTCCAACCTCCATATACACGACAAAGTTCGGATTTAATTCAATCTTTTGTAATGGAGTTCTGAGGTTTACTAGTTTCATTTACCACTTGTAAAACGAGAAGTAATGAGAAAAAAAGTTAAATGATATCCCCGGTCCTTGCCAAAGTCCATGATTTGCCAAGGGAAACTCCAAAATTTATTCGGATCAAAAACAAAATAGAAGGATCACATTGACATTATACTGTTAGGTTCTGAGAAGGTTTCACTAAATTCTAATAAGGGTGTAGGAAAAGTATGTACCGTAGTGTGCAGATATGACAAAGTCCATGTCATGCCAAAGTAACCCAAAAACCATTCACAAGAAGGAATAAAATAGGAGTACATCATTTGAGTTTGTGTTGATACAAAAGTGGGACGGACGGACGAACAAAGAACGGACTCCTCTATCACTATGTACCTCCCTCCTTCTGAATTGGAGGTTAGAATAACAATTCTGATTACGGTTTATTATTATCTGAGGTTGAAATACTAGTAATTGATCATGTCAGTTGGTCTGCAGCATCTCAATAATACAAGGACAATTTGTTATAAGCATTGTTTCAATTGGCTGTGATAAGGTTTTGTAAATTTTAACAAAACGCAATGAAAAAGTCTATAAGGAGGACTGAAAAGTATGCAAAATTAAATTTAAGAAATGTACATGTATTATTAGTTACATAGTGTGCTAGTGACCTAATACGATATATATGGGGACAGTAAATTCCATTCCATATGGAATTTACTGACCCCATATATATCGTATTAGGTCACTAGCACACTATGTAACGAATTTATTTTACCGACTATCTTAATATGTGATATTCAGACGAGTGGCCTATCAAAGTGATCAAGTCTTCAATACCGTTAGAATTAAGAACCTACTTCCATTGGTCTATACAAAAACAAATACCAACAATAACAACTTGTTAGCTTTAAATGTGTTTTATGAATTTATTTCAATCGTTCATCATCAATTTCGTCGTCTGTTGAAACCTTTAAGATTTTTCCTCAACACCGTGTTGTTTTTATACAGGGACGTAACACCACTACTAACCGTGTATTGAAATAAATTAAGCCCCGCCTACTAACCCAATATGGAATATACACGGTCTCCACGCGGTTGCTTTTAACCAATCATATTCCTAGAAATGTATAGGAGGTAAAATAATTAATATATATCGTATTAGGTCACTAGCACAATATGTAACTAATAGTATTCAATCAATACAAAATAGATAAATCTGTTGCAAAGTTAACTTGAGAAGAAGTCCTTTGTTCAATTTAAAAGAGTAAAAAACCTTCTTTTGCTTGGATACCTTTTGTGGTCTGCTTTATGTCCATGTTTGTTATTGCTTCTTAACATCCATCGGCGGAAATCACTTGCATATTTGGGACAATAACATGTAATATAAGATATGAATATACCCGGTACCCAGCTATGTCTAGACTGACACACTGAGTATATTGATTTGAATGGCACAGATAGCTATGGCTGTGTAAGTTAGTGATGAATAATAAAAGTTTCTCTCTCCGCAAATCAAAGTGGATTACTCATCTTCCAGTAAGGTGCTGTTTTTTAGACATTAATTCCAAATTTTCTCCCTTCCGTTAATTCCAGCAATGACCATTCTTGATGATTTCCAATAGAGCACCTGATCTCACTCAGAGCTGGAATTTATATATTTTTTTCTGTCACAATATTAATATTTTTGTCTCAGCTGTCTAAATTTATGTAATTTATGTTAATGTGAATAATGCTTGCTATGTTGGTCCTCTTCAATTTAGGATTTTGAGGAGAAAGATATATGTAAGCATTTAAATACAAAATTCCTACATGCATTATCTACATATGTATGGTGCTAGAGACTGTCTTGAACTTGCAGGTAGGTGTTAACTTTTGCACCTTGTTGGAAGCCTCACTGTGACTGAGATAAGAAAAAACATCTTTACAAACACTTTTCCTTTGCTTTTGTTTCTGTCCAGTACTTGTAGGAATTTTGTATCACGAATAAATACACTCTATTTCTTTATTTTCATTATATGTCATATTGTTTGGGACTTTATAGTAGAATTGAAATCTAAGTGTCCAAAATCGACACCATTGTGGAATTAAGCAGAATCATTCTGCAGTACATATAAATCAGTTCTCAGAAACAGTTTCAAGTTTACTGTATTTATTTTCATCTTTTTTATTTCTTTGGTATTTCAGAGAGTTTATTTGAAGTTTATATGGGGTTAATGCCTCCGAGTTGCACCTTCTCTATATTGCTGGAGACAATAAACAAACATACCTACTTCTGCAGACAAGAGTGCACACACTGAAATGTCTCGCCTTCTTTACTAATCATTGATATTATGTTGATAGTCCTAAATATAAAGCTTTATTACAACTGTCACATAAACTTAACATTAACCAAGTAAACTAAACATTGACCAATGAACCATGAAAATGAGGTCAAGGTCAGATGAACCATGCTAGGCAGGCATGTACAGCTAACAATTCTTCCATACAACAAATATAGTTGACCTATTGCTTATAGTTTAAGAAAAACAGACCAAAACACAAAAACTTAACACTGAGCAATGAACCTTGAAAATGAGGTCAAGGTAAAAAAAAACCTGCGTGACTGACAAATAGATCATAAAATATTTCCATACACCAAATATAGTTGAACTATTGCATATAGTATTAGAAAACTAGAGGCTCTCAAGAGCCTGTGTCGCTCACCTGACTCTACTTTGGTTTTAGAAATCATGTAAAGATAGATAAAAATCATAACAGATACCCAAATAATGATTGAGGCCAAATTTTGATTAATATTGGTCCCGTTATTTAATAAAATATCCTGGTGGCCATCTTGAACAGTAAATCGGCAACAAAGTAGCAACACTTGGTCAGCACTTCATAAGGAACATTCATGCCATGTTTGGTTTCATTCCATTCAGTGGTACTCTAAAAGAAGACATTTGTATGTATTTCCCATAGGGTCCTATGTTAAACTAAGCCCCCCCCCCCTAGCGGCCATCTTGGATGATGGATCGACTGCAAAGTAACAACACTTGGTCAGCAACTCATAAGGAACATTCATGCCATGTTTGGTTCAATTCCATTCAGTGGTTCTCTAAAAGAAGACAATTGTATGTATTTCCCATAGGGTCCTATGTTAAACTAAGTCCCCCGCTGTCGGCCATCTTGGATGATGGATCGGCTGCAAAGTAACAACACTTGGTCAACATCTCATAAGGAACATTCATGCCATGTTTGGTTCCATTCCATTTATTGTTTCTCTAAAAGAAGACATTTTTATGTATTTCCCAAAGGGTCCTATGTAAAACTAAGTCCCCCGCTGGGGGCCATCTTGGATGATGGATCAGCTACAAAGTAACAACACTTGGTCAGCATCTCATAAGGAAGATTCATGCCATGTTTGGTTTCATTCCATTCAGTGGTTCACTAAAAGAAGACATTTGTATGTATTTCCCATAGGGTCCTATGTTCAACTAAGTCCCCCGCTGGCGGCCATCTTGGATGATGGATCGGCTTCAAAGTAACAACACTTGGTCAGAACCTCATAAGGAACATTCATGCCATGTTTGGTTTCATTCCATTCAGTGGTTCTCTAAAAGAAGACATTTGTATGTATTTCCCATAGGGTCCTATGTTAAACTAAGTCCCCCGCTGGCGGCCATCTTGGATGATGGACCGACTGCAAAGTAACAACACTTGGTCAGCATCTCATACGGAACATTCATGCCATGTTTGGTTCCATTCCATTCAGTGGTTCTCTAAAAGAAGACATTTTTATGTATTTCCCATAGGGTCCTATGTTAAACTAAGTCCCCCGCTGGCGGCCATCTTGGATGATGGATCGGCTACAAAGTAACAACACTTGGTCAGCACCTCATAAGGAACATTCATGCCATGTTTGGTTTCATTCCATTCAGTGGTTCTCTAAAAGAAGACATTTGTATGTATTTCCCATAGGGTCCTATGTTAAACTAAGTTCCCCGATGGCAGCCATCTTAGATGATGGATCGGCTACAAAGTAACAACACATGGTCAACACCTCATAAGGAACATTCATGCCATGTTTGGTTTTATTCCATTCAGTGGTTCTCTAAAAGAAGTCATTTGTATGCATTTCCCATAGGGTCCTATGTTAAACTAAGTCCCCCGCTGGCGGCCATCTTGGATGATGGATCGGCTACAAAGTAACAACACTTGGTGAGCACCTCATAAGGAACATTCATGCCATGTTATGTTTTATTCCATTCAGTGGTTCTCTAAAAGAAGTCATTTGTATGCATTTCCCATAGGGTCCTATGTTAAACTTAGTCCCCCGCTGGCGGCCATCTTGGATGATGGATCGGCTACAAAGTAACAACACTTGGTCAGCACCTCATAAGGAACATTCATACCATGTTTGGTTTCATTCCATTCAGTGGTTCTCTAGAAGAAGTTCAAAATGTAAAAAACAACCAAAACTTAACCTTGTTCACTGATCCATGAAATGAGGTCGAGGTCAAGTGAAAACTGTCTGACGGGCATGAGGACCTTGCAAGGTACGCACATACCAAATATAGTTATCCTATTACTCATAATAAGAGAGAATTTAACATTACAAAAAATCTTAACTTTTTTTTCAAGTAGTCACTGAACCATGAAAATGGGTTCAAGGACAATGGACATATGACAGACGGAAACTTCATATCATAAGGCATCTATATACAAAGTATGAAGCATCCAGGTCTTCTACCTTCTGAAATATTAAGCTTTTAAGAAGTTATTTAACGCCGCAGGCTCGACAAAAACTGGCATTCTGGAGTCGGTTTCACAAAATAACTTAAGACTAAGATTGATGGTAAGTATACTGAATTGTTCACGACTTACGACCAATCTTAGTCGTAAGTTTTTTGTGAAACCTACTCTTGATACCGGATACATATAAATGTATGCATCTTTTCCTGAAATCGCAGTAATTAATCTCACTTTTTTTTCCATTCTTCAAAAATCGCAATAATAAATGCTTGCATTAATTTCTAAATTTACAGTTAACAAGCCTGCAGCAGGCAAGAACATTTAACTCAGTGTGACTCAAACCTTAGTTTTATTTATTTATGCTTATGTTAAACGTCTATAACAGGGGGATTACTGATATTTTTTACCTAGAAAGTTTGTGTTCTTTTGAAATATAGCGTGCATTTGTCTTAAGCTATTTGTTGAATTTAGCTTCATCAGGAATACTCAAACCTAAGCATTTGAAAAAAAAGATAATAAACTCATTGGGGGCAAGGGAGTAAATAAATAATGAAACAAGTACAAGATAATTCGCTTTTATATAACAACTGTTTTGTGGCAATCATGACTGCATGAATATATACTAACATAAGCAAATAAACTGGCTTTATAGTATTCTAAAAATAGATTGAAGAGCTAAAAATAACACTGTAAACCATAATATTATCTACCATTAAATATTAACCTATGCTATTGTAAAAACAAACTGAAAAAATATAAATCCTAAAATACTTTTTTCAAACTGAAAAACTTTCGCAACTTGAATGAAAAAATTCTCACATGCATTTTACGTAAAGAAAAGGTGATTTTCAGTTAGACTACAATAAAATAAAATTTAATTATGAAACAGTCATTACATAAAGAGACATCTCATTAGAAGTCTCGCTTTGCTCTATACAAATTTCAATCTTTAGTATCCGAAAACTGCCATTGTTATTTCATTTCTCAAAGAAATTTGAACACAACAATAAAATAATTATAAAAATAACAGATGAAAAGTAAAATAACAAATATATCAAAAGTAACAGCCCAAAATGACTAGCAGTTATACAAAAATATTAATTACTATTTATTATTGATGATGTTGTCATACAAACTTTGGAATGATGCATTGGAATGCAGCTGTAGTGACAAGGTGTGTCACAACCTGTAGAAAATTATGATTCTGTCAGCATTACAAAAATCTTTACATTCTAACTCTCCTTGTAATGTCCATGTGACATATTAAATCACCCTTGATGTAAGGAATGACCTTTTATGATGACCTTACAGCAACTTTCAAGATGGAGAACTGCAAAACAGCACCTTCTCTATTTAATATACCCATCAGGCATGATACCCTTCCCTTTCTTACAATATTGAATCCAAATCTAATTTTGAATATTATTTTGTGCAAAACTTTCCTCCTTTTTGACTTCTATAATCATTGTTTTTTCTAATCGAACAATACTATTCCATAAATCTACTTGTTTGATTTAATTTTGTTTGGTGTTTAACACCACTTTCAGCACTATTGGCTATTTCGTGGTGGTCAGTTTTTATTGATGGAGAAAGCAAGAATGTCCCGAGAGAACCATTGACCTTCAACAAGAAAACTGACAATCCTAGTCAATTAAGATTGGAGTCAAACGCACCTTCCATGTGTGGGGTTGGAACTCAAAACGTCAGTGTTGACAGGCTAGTGATATGTGTGGGGTTGGAACTCACAACCTCAGTGTTGACCGGCTTGTGATACAGTAGTTGAACTACTTAGATCACTCGGCCACTGATGGCCCCCTATATGTTTGAACAGGAACTTCAAATAAAATTCTTTCCAAATAAAAATGCAAACTGGCCAGGATGAGACATTATTCACACTTGATGTAACATTCTACATAGAATGATATACACAATACTTAATGTCATGTACTACTCTTTTCACATCAAGATTTCTACTGAATAACTTACATTTGAAACATTTCAATACCAGATTATCTGTTAGTAACTTATGTGTAAATCATTACAATTTGTCATTGTAAACGTAACTATCTTTTGATTTGATTAAAGCATGGTTTTCCCAAAATTTAACTACACTTCTCAGGTTCGGCTCATTTATTATCAGATTTAAAAATTCAAAAAAGCTTATATTTACAACACTAAAGAGTTATCCAATGACCTCCTTACAATCATAGTATAGTTTAATATATACATTTGTATGTGTTAATAAATGGTCCTCATACGCGAAGTATGTTGTAGGTGTCAACTTTACAAAACTTTTTTTTCTGACGGAAAATTTGTTGTAACCAATTTCTGGTAGTTATTCATTATATTCAATCTTACTTTATGCTATTAATAAATGTGTTAAATATTTTTGCAATCAACATTCAATAAATCCAACCATTAAGTAATAAATTGGGTAATTCAACATGTCAGGCAGCTTGAGCACTCTGTTTTGTAAATATGTATTGATGTTTTGACAATAGTGGTCAAATTTTACAGACCAACCTACTAATTGTAGTGAAAATATGTTGAAAAGGGGAGAAATAGGGATATTTTTCACAAAAAAAACGGAGATTTGACCTCCCTGTGAGAAGACCGATAATCTGAGGAAGATTCCTAAATTTTAAGAAAATATTTGAATATAAAAAAGATGATGTGGTATGATTGCCAATGAGACAACTCTCCACAAGAGACCAAATGACACAGAAATTAACAACTATAGGTCACTGTACAGCCTTCAACAATGAGCAAAGCCAATATTTGGAAAGTTAACACCCATGTTTATAAAGAAATCAATAGACAGACAAATTATAATAAAAACAACCCCTTTTACTGACTAAATAAAATAAGCACTAGTTATATCTTTAAATAGATTTAGTACAATTTAATTATGTTATAAAATAAAAGCATAAAGGGCAGTGACTGATGACTATACATAGCAATTTCTTTGTAAGTATTTAATAGCACCATCTTTTGCTTAAGGTACAAATTTAAAGATCTTTGTCAGAATTTTATTTCATTTCTTATATCTTTAACCAGTTGTATATCACAATTAAAAGTTTATGAAAAAATTGATACTATTTATATTAAGAATCACTTGAAAATCTGTGTTTTAATTACAAATGATTTTGAAATTTTTTATTTAATCATGTTAATAGGGTTTTTTTTTTTATTAATAAGGATTAATAAAAAGTTTGAAGTCATTCTTTCAACAAACATTTTCAAGACCCCAACCACTCATAAAATAAAAAGTTTCATTTTACTTAAAATTCTTGCAAAATTCAGAGGAAAATGCAATCACACATATTTAATTTATTTGAATCCCTCCCATCCACCCATCACCCGGTAAATTTTGGAACAGTCCTTAATGAAGAATGAGATATAACAGCCTGGTCACCAACCAAGAAATTTTGTGACAAGACTGAGAAACAGGAAGGGATAATATTTTATATGACCTTTGAACCCTGATATATTTGCTAGAAATATTCAAATCATAGGAAAACAAACCTGCCATTCAAAGCATGTAATTTAGTTTAAAAATGATATGTAGTATTTTAATCTGAAGGCCTTTAATGCGTAATTATTTGATAGAATGTAAGAAATTGGACATATTGGTAGAAAGTTATTTTTTGTTTGTTTAAATTTGACTTTATTCAACGTTAAATTGCTATGCATTTAAATAAATAATTGATGCCCAACACTTGTGTAGTATAGCACCTTTAATGTTTTGTCAAATCTATGACCTTGAAATACACTTCAAAATGATGATGCAATTAGGTTAAGTTAAAACAAAAACAAAAAAAAACAGGCAAATGAAACCTGAATCTTTACTTGGAATGTTAAAAATATTAATATGCCATTAGTTAATGAAATCAAACTATTAGTAAGTTTCTGAGATAAGCAAAAATGTTTAAACCTAGAAGACCTTTTCATCAAATACAAAGTCATTCTCTAATTATTTTGGCAATAACATATATAAAATCTAGGACTTATTTTGATTAATAATACTGCTTTCCAAAAACTTCAAATCAAATTTGAGGGGTAGTGAGACTTGTATGATTTTATATATGACTCTGAGATTAAAGTTTTGGTCAAAAGCAGAAAACCACAAATTATAGGAAAACAGTATTCATATTCTACAAAATAAGCGATATACATGTAGAACAGTGAGCTATGTAAAATGTTCATTTATATATATATACTATTTGTTTTGTTGCAATATATACAAATTTACAGTACTTATTTACAAAAATAAAATTTATATGCAATATATATACATTCAAAATAATGAAACATATTCAGATAATTGAAGCTAAATGAAGATGAATAATGTCTATTTTTGGAAGTCCAACCATACCTGCCAAGCTTTTTTGAAGGGCCACACTTTATAAAAGGAATAAAATACCACTCAAAATAATGATAGTCTGGCCATACCATTCAACCATAAAGCATTTTACAGCCATCAACCAACATCTTTAAAACATATCCTTCAGGAAATTATGTCATTCTAGCCTACCAACTATTTTTACCAATTAATTTCTCATTTACTGTGCAATGATACATCTGTTATACCTTTTTTGTCTATATGCATCGTAAATTCTTTTTATTTCTGAAATATTGTATTCATAAGTTTTTTTTTACTGAAACTAGATATAAATGCTTATTTTATGAAACTGTAATATTCTGTAAACCATGGAATCCTGACTGCTGGATGATGAACCACATGAAAACTTAAATTTGGCAGGTATGTCAAAGAATTCTAAATGATAAAAAAAATCCTATGTCTATGACTAAATGCTAATTACTTTAAAAAAATTGATTACATTTTATACTGGTTATCTCCACATTTGGAGAAATCAATAATATAATGAATTCAGTGTTGTTTTCATTTGATTATTGTAATATATGTATGTAAATTTAGTCAGTATTTCCTTTCTCAAAAGGGAGACAATTCAATTTGTTATCTCCCCTTGATAACATAATGTACATGGTGGTCAAGGTCACACAAAAATAATTTGAAGATTCTCAATTTTGTAAATCTTGAAAAGACCTGCACCAAATTTTTCTTTCTAATTTCTCTTTTTAAAAATAAGATTTCTCTATTTTTCAATTTGTCAATTTCTGCCATTTCTGCAAGTGCAGGTCCATATTCTTCTGTATACTTATCCACTTAGCATAACTTCCAGTCATTTTTATCTGCTACATCTTATCAAAATGCAAAACCAGCTAAATGGCTTTCCTCACTGTAAAACTATTGAGTATTGAATTCACAGACAAAAAAATCAAGATTGCTTACATTTAAGTTTACATAGAGCAGATTTTAACAATTCACGAAAAAAACCTCTAATCTATTTTTTTGGTGACAGGCAAGTGAGAATCTTTTTTATTAATTTGACTGTGTCTAACTGACTATCTGCACTGCATCTCAGATGAATAAATATCCCTTACAATATGGTACAGAACATGAAGCAAACATAAAATATTTATACAGTGTTAGCATATATGTTAGTTTCAGTTATAGAACTCAAGTCACATGGCTACAGGCAAAACCATGTGTCCTAGTAGTAAAAAATATCACAGTCTTTGTTGTAGTATTTATACACCATAGACAGAAAATAATGATGGATGAATTCTATGCTCATGCCATAATGATATTTATTCCCTTCTAAACATTTACAGTAAGTCTGGGTTTTCCTATAGACTTAAACATTTACTATGTGGTGTTAAAAAAAACTTATATCATTTTAAAAGCATATGTCTCAATCAATATATATTGTAAACAATAGATAGATCTATCAAAAGTTATCAAAACTATTGATTAGTCATCATAATTATTCTAATGCATTCATAAAACTGTAAATATAGGAGTATATGTAGATTTTGTAAATTTTAATCTTTAAGAAAGCAAGTGATGCAGTTTACTTATAAGCAAGAAAAACAGGTTACATCTACTTGCATTCATATCACTTAAAACCAGGTGTTGTTTCTTAAATAAAAACCACTTAAACTGGTCATACTTTACTCTTAACCACTAAAACTGGTCAAACATTACTCTTAAACTGGTTATATGTTACTCTTAATCTCTTAAACTGGTCATTTGTTTAATACTCTTAACCACTTAAAGTGGTCAAAGATTACTCTTAAGCACTTAAACTGTTCAAACATTACTATTTACCATTTCAACTGGTAAAATGTTACTCTTAACCAATTAAACTGGTCATACATAACTTTTAACCACTTAAACTGGCCATACATTACTCTTAACCACTTAAACTGGTCAAACAATACTCTAATTCACATAAACTGGACATATGGTACTCTTAACCACTTAAACTGGTTATACGTTACTCTTAACCACTTAAACTGGTCATATGTTACTCTTAACCACTTAAAATGGCCATACATTACACCTAACCACCTAAACTGGTCATACGTTACTCATAACCACAAAAAGTGGTCAAACATTACTCTTAACCACTTAAACTGGTCATAAGAGATACCAATGATTACTAAATAAAACTCCTTTTAAGAACCATAAATAATGTGCATGGCACAAATTCAGGACATACGCTATGTTGAGATTCAGTAAGGCAATTTTAAATAACACCAGGGACTGGTGCAAGAAATGAAAGAAGTGTCAACCAAACACTCCAACTGGTTGAGAGTTTGAAATGTAAAAGAAACTGATTATTTCTTTTTTTTTTTTTGGTGCATAAAAATGCAAAGACCAACCATCCTTTTGATTAATGAATAGTTTGATGGAAGACCGAGACATATATCATTTTGACTCTTAACTTTATGGCATGAGCAAGCATTATGACTATATGATAACAATAAAATGTCTATGCAGTCATAAGTACAACGAATGCAAATATGAACAGAAATAAGATACTTTTCACAAAGCTTTAAGCCGAGCCAGCAGTTTTTCAGCATCACTCTCTTCATTATCAATGGACGACTGTTTTGTTTTTGAATTGCGCCTTTCCCCCGCCTTTTCATGATTATAATTTGTATCCCTTTCTATATCCACTTTGTCTTTTTCTTTGTTTTGAGACGAAGCTGTATTGGGGTCATCAAAACTAATTTCTGTTAATGTTGTATTATCCAGGTTGAAGAGATTCTGTCGAGATCTAGATCGAGAGAGTTGAGCACGTCTTTCAGCTAAAAATATAATTAAAATTTATAAATAAATGACTACATACAAATATAAGTACACAAATATTGATTTCATAATTCAAAATTATAGTAAGAATTCACATCACACCTACCATAAGCCAATGTTATATGGAAACAAAATGATTCCTAGTTCCTGAGAAAATTTCATACATGGCCATTTTGTATAAGGATATATAGGTATTTCTGAAAAAGCAGGAAGTTGATAAGCAATGTGTGCGATAACACATCACACAGTATAGCCTACTCCCATGAAGCTTGATGCCTTTCAGGAAGCTCTTATTTGAAGTTTTCGATGAAGCTTGATGCCATATATATTAGGAAGCTGCGACTTATACAGTTGCTGATAAAAATGTGAGGACAATTACAAATATGTGCATCAATTAATTTATTTTTGAAGATATAATTTTTATCGGCAAGCAGAAAGAAGAACATCGAAGGATCACATTTCACATAGCATTGCAAAACTAGATAAAGCTTGTAACCATACACAATTTAAAAGAAGCATTGTCTAGTAGTTCTTGACTAAAAGGTAACAGAAATGGGTTATGGGTTATGGGTAGACAGATGAAGGTAAATCAATTAACCCATCTTTTGGAGCAGGACTTACAATTATTGCAATGACTTTTGTAATTGAAATTTTTGACCATGTATTAGAATAAGATACAATTAAATAAATGCATTGTTATTAATAATCAATCTTCGTAAAAGGTTTCGAATTAGAACAAGTTGTGTATTCAACACTGCTAATTAATTACTGAAATAAAAAATAATTCACATTTCTATCAATCTTGATATGTAAATGAGCTTAACATTACATACGGTACCTATGTTATATTCATCAAAATATATGTCCATGACTTACATATTAATGATCCTCTTTTGCATAATAAAATTAGTTAATTTAATGTTTCAGCACACTACAAAAAGTATTATTTACAATTTTTTTTCTACTGGGAAGCCAAATTGACATGAACCCATAATACATGCTCAATTCTGACAAGTTTCACAAAAAAGTTTTCTATTATGACTTATTAAAGTATTTTTTATGATCGACTGACTAACACATTACAAGTAAACAATGTTTGTTTTTTTCTTTTATGCATATATACAACAATTTACAAGCATATAATTGTAGTTGTAAGCCGGTCATAACAAATTTACAATATAAACTATCATGCAGCATTTACATACAAGCATAAATGATGAATGAAATGGTGTCTCCCTCCTCTTCTTACCCAATTCTACACTCCCATAAAGCACTGAACCTTATATATGAGGGTAGAAATGCCCTTTACCGTCAAGCGTCAAACATCAAACATTCTATTTTGGATAATGTAAGTATCAACTGAGCCTTAATTATTTATCGCCATTCGTCAAATCTAATTTTGCAGGTAACTTTTGCGTCAAATGGAATAAAATGTTTATCGTTAACATTATTTTAACAAATATTTTACTTTTGTTCTTCATGTGGGGTACCCCATTCCTACCCACATATATATTTAAAAAACAACAATATTACTTCACTGGAAATTGTTTTCCTTCATATTCAACTTTCAATTAAACAGACAAATATGCTTTAATGCAAAATTAAAAAAAAAATAGAAACAAGGACCATAACTCTGCACAAAATCATCAGTCCGGAACAAAATTTGAACTTGAACTAGTACACATTTTTATTTAGGGGCCAGCTGAGGACCACCACTGGGTGCGGGATTTTCTCGCTGCATTGAAGGCCCATTGTGGCCTTCGGCTGTTATCTGCTCTTTGGCCAGGTTGTTGTCTCTTTGACAAATTCCCCATTTCCATTCTCAATTTTATTGATCTGTGACATGTCATGATAAAGCATATATATATATACCAATAAGCATTCTGTGAGTATTGCATGGCAATACATAGTCCCCTACTGGTTAAAAATTCATTGTATTGGAACAAAATTCTAACTTGATCTATAACTTGTCATGGTGTAAACTAAATAACAAATACCAAGTCAATATCTTCAAGCCTGACGAAAAAAAGTGTTGAAAATTGATTATTTGAGTGAATTTTCTGATTATTTGAGTGAATTTTCTAAGTCCAAGGACCATAACTCTGCACAAAATCATCAGACCGGAACAAAATTTGGACTTGATCTGTAACTTGTCATGATCAAACAATACACCAAATATCAAATCAATATCTTCAGGCTCGAAGAAAAAAAGTGTGGAAAACTGATTTACCGGACTGACAGATGGACAGACAGACAGACAGACAGATTGCAAACCTAAAGTCCCCTTTGACTTTGTCGGTAGGGGACTAAAATTTATTATTTTTTAGACAAATGGAATTATGGGAAATATTTTTTAGAAATGAGTGGGTCAAAGGTCAGATATTTATCATACACTGGATATTTTAGATTAATCCTGTTAGTCATCTGTATGCTGTATATTATGTCACGATTACCTCAATGTTCAATACGTGCTAACAGACTTGGACGTCTATTGTAACATGCTGCAATCATATATCAACTTTTTTCACAAAATTACCAACAAAAAAACCCCAAACTTTTAAATCTACATTCCTATGTTATAGATACAAAATTAAAGTGACACTACCCAAATTCAACTTGATCTGTGTTTTATCAGTGGAAGTCAAAATTACACATTGCATTGTATAAAGTATTGATTGTAGTTGATTCAACTATTTAGATTAAATTTTTCCATTTATAAAGGGACATAACTCTAGAACGGTTAAAGTGACGCCACCAAAATTTGATCTGTGTTTTGTGTTTTGTGGTAATAAGCATTGTGTATAAGTTTCATAACATTTGGTTTAGGCAAACTTAAGTAAGAGAACGGAAACTAAAAATTTTGCAATTTTTCCATTTATAAAGGGGTATAACTCTAGAACGGTTAAAGTGACGCCACCAAAATTCTAGCTTGATCTGTGTTATTTGGTAATAAGCATTGTGTATAAGTTTCATAACATTTGGTTGAGGCAAACTCAAGTTAGAGAACGGAAACCAATTTTGGGACGTACACATGTAGGGATGGACAAGGGTAAAACTTAATGCCCCCACCATTACGGCGGGGGCATAAAAAAAGGACAATTCTCACTCACAAAAAAAAAATAAATTTAAAAATTAAAAAAAAAACAAACAAACAAAAAATGCTAAAAATTAAAAAAAAATATTCAGGTTTACCATTTTCTAGTCTCCATAAAAAAAATAATAGAACTGAGTACACAGAATATATGGGTTTCATAGCAAAATGTTTCCCATATTTTCATGCAGAGATTTTCATTACATATAATAAATACTCTGGTATTGCTTGAATCCCTGAAACATCAAAAAAGGTAAAAATATTTTCTGTATGTAAATATTTTACATAACAATCTTGGGGAATACACAACAAAAAAATAATAACGATAAAAGTCAAAGCAATGAAACCAAATGAATGCAGCACAACCCAATACAACAGCTATTTATAAATCACTCCCTCTACAATGCTAGACAACATTTAACAGACCATGCATGGCAATGTATTGAGAAACAAACCAGTATGACGATGAGCCATGCACGATTTTACCACCGTGGTCGTCTAATCCATCACCGTTGACGAGGGGTTTATCGTGCCACACACGAGAACGAGACAAGTTGGAAAATCTATCTGCTAGTCAGTAAGAGAAAATAAAATAAATTGTCAGAGGAAAAAATTTAACCACAATTAGTAGGAAGTTTAAACTTATCGCATTTCTGGTATATAGTTCTAAGGTGAATATACCTTTTTCTTCTAAGATTGAAAATTCTTATTTTGAACATTTTACATAATCAGAAAAATAATCAACATTAAAGACAACAACACTCAACTACCGTAAATTAATTGTTTTTTTGGTCGACATGTTTTGCCATCAAGATTGTGTCTTCAATATTAAAGGAAAATAAATACAAGTTTATTGCACACAATTATACCTCTAATTATAGCATTATAGCTGTCAAAAAAGGTATATTCAAACATAGAACTTATATTCAGAATAGCTTTAATTCAATTATAAAAAAAAGATACAAATGCAAAAATATCCAAGTTTGCAAAAATCCCACATATCTACAAATCCTTTAAAACTCTACAAAAAGCGACCCTCCAATACTTTGCCTCACCTCAATGTATCTGTCTTTGATTATGCAGGTACTGTTTATTCACTTTCCCTGGGTTTATGACATATGATGCATTAAAAGCAGTTGGATATCATTTGATCAATTTTGATATTTAAATATCCCAAAACCATGGGTTCGGTCCAATGTCTTTTTACAAGTGAAGATCATTTCAAATTTTGAAAAAATGCAATATTTCTGAATTAATTTAAATTTGTTATTTATTTTTATAAAAAACTTTGAAATACTATTTTCTCCTCAAAAGAAGCACAATAAATGTATATAATATACAAAACTTGTATGTCAAAAATACTTAAAAATTATCTTAAAGGTTTTGAAAAAAACATATCAAGCTTCTCTATAACATTTCTTGTATTTTCAAATTTTTTTGGGGTATTTTCCCGAATAGTTTTTTACTACCTTCATTGCCATGAAAACTTGAGAACGTGTCTATGTTTCATTATCTTTTAAATTTTTAAAAACTTTTCAGCTCAAATAAAGCCCTTCCCCCTGTCCTATAAAACTTTGCATAAGGCAAACTTCATAATTATTTCAATTTATAAATCTATGATTACATAACCAAATTTTTACTAAATAAACCTCTAAGAATTATATAAATTAATAAAATATTATTAAAGAAATGATCTTCTTATGTTAAGAACAGGTATAAGGAATTCATATCCAAACCACTCTAGTATTACCATGATTTATCTCACGGGAGTATCCTGTTCAATGAAGCATGAAAAAAGCGAAGTGCATGATCAGCTTGAAAGTATGTATACTGTGCATCTACTAGTACAAATATATTATATTAAAGCCAAGTCGTCTCTACTAAATAAAGACATATATCTATAAAGCTTATAATGTGTATTGATCACTGTGAACACATTTAATTAAAGGATAACAGTATGGTTTTCTCCAATGGTAGTAATTTATTGTTGTTTTATTACGGTCTGTTTATCAATTGTTCAGATGATGTTTCCCTTTCATTGTTCATGTCAAGAATGTAAATGATATATAATAAACAAAAGCCTTGGAGAGCATAATTTAGGTCTTTATCTATGGGAAGATCTAACTGAATCCAATTTTTATTTTGTGCCACTATTCATAACCTTTTGAAGAATAAAGTACGTTTATATCAAAATGATCTTCAGTATCAAGTATCAGGCAGACGTAAACTATTTGGAATCCACCCAGGCAGACTGAACGTTTATATCTCCTTAAAAGCCTACAGAAAAGAAGAATTAGGAAGAGTACAATCTAAGGGCGAGTCTTTCCTTGTCTAATGCCTGTACTTCATCACATTTTGACCGAAAGAACTTGATAAATTCATACTACCAACAAAATCTGAACTGACTCATCGAATATCAAAGCTGGAAAACTGTAGGTCAGAGACCTTCAAGACACCAGACCTCTGTAAAGGAGATAATCTCCACTAAAGGTATTGTTAATGTTGTAAGTGGTAAGAACCTATGGTATTTGCCTAAAGTCTTCTTGACACCAAACCTTGACAAAGGTCACCATGACCTATACACCGTAGACATTGTAATGGAACATATCAATGAACTTGAAAACTATAACAGTCAGAGACAAATTAAATGCTGGCAAATGTTTGGGATATCAAATCTTTTGTTTCTGCTGTTATTCATCAATTGTTTTAGTAATGATAATTTTGCTATTCTGTTTTAATGTTTTATTGGAAAATCTTACTAGAGACAGCCAAAAAGAAATGGCCCTATTTCAAGTCATACAATAATGTCTATTTTCTGAATGGAATGCTATTATGGCTGCAAAGTAGAATCTATTTATTTCAAAAGGCAAGTGACATTACATTTGAAATCCTAATCCCATGAAACTGTTTAGGAATTTTCTATTCAAACAATACTTCTCATCTGAGACCAGAACCTAGAAGTCAATACTATAGAAAGTGAACAATGACATATTGCTTTTCTGAAACTTCCATTTATATTTAATGGAACAGCCTTTAATCAAAAACAAAGATAATAAATATCACAAGTGAAGTGAGAAAAGATCTTTGATATATACAATAGGCAAACTAGTACATGTATATGAATATGTGTAGTAATAATACCACTGAAGATGAATATCATTTTGTTTCAGAATGTATTAAAGATAAAGATAATTATATGTAGAGAGAATATAGTAACAGCTTTTGCTGCAGACACCCAAAAGATTTTAAATATTAATATAATAATTATCTATTCATATCAGAGATTTATCTCTTGAAGGAAAATACTTTTACATGAACAATTCATCAATTTTAAAATATACATTTCATGCTCCATAAAATTAGCATATTATTTGAATACATGTATACCTATAGCTCTGTAACAGTTATTTTGGGACGCCTCGCTTTTGGATTGAAAAAAAAATATGCAGCTGGTTAAAACTATAAAACTACACATTCATTTAAGACATTAGTCTCTGAATTTTGAATTCCTAAGAACAATAACTGTCCATAATGCTTTTGATTTTCAGTATTTCAGTATTAGGAAAAAATATTCTATTTCAATGCTAAAGCACACTAATAATATTGTAAAAGAGTGTTTATAGTCAAAAGCAGTTCACTCTGTTACAAAAATTACTTTAAATTAGAAAGCATGCAAAAAAAAAATTGTTTTGTTTAGTTCCTAACAAATGTAATTTCATGGTAATTTTTTTAAAACAAATATATGCAGTGATGGTGGTGCTGAGGTGAAAAGGGGAGGGAATCACTGAAGCTTTCCACTTCTTCTTTAGAAATAAAAATCCCATCCCCCACATACCGATAATGTTTTTTTTCATTCAAATGACTGGGACAATAAAAATTTTACTTTCTATTGCATCTGAATTTAAGAAAAAAAAAAGGTTTGATGAATGACCACAATGAATTTCCATCCATATAAAACTAAGTGTTAGCAATAGAAAGGGGGCTTGTCACTGCACATTTAATGGTATTTGTGTTGAAAACCATCTGTGACTTTGTGATTAAAAACAGCATGAGAATCCTGATCCTTTGCTTATGATTTTCTCAAAATGTCGTTTTGTGTCATGAATAAAGTCTTTTTTTCCATTCAACTACCATCTACATATACTTGACCTATTAGGTCAAACTACTGATTCTACCTACCACCCTCCCTCAAAATCAATTCTTCTTGCAGACTTTCATATGTAAATTTTTTTTTTTAAATTGAAAGATTCAAACATTTAGTTTACACTGTTTTTGAGTGAAAAAAGAAACTAGCAGGAGCTTAAGAGATGAGAAACATCAATCAAGAAATGTTTAACATTTAAAAACAACTCAGTTCCTAAAAACAAATGACTATTTCAATGACATTACCTCCTGCCGCTCTAGGCGTCCTTTGTTTTCGGTCACGTTTTTCTCTGACATTATTAAAGGCGGAACCAGTCTTCAAGGCTTCTAACAAATTATCCATAACACCTTCCTGGTCTCCTTCTGCAAGCAAAACAAATATCTGGTTGTAGTATAAAACAATAGTCAAAGTATAATATAATCATTTTTCCAGTTGCAATAGAATACAACTTTGAATCGAAAAATCAGCTGATATTTTCTTCAATGTTTTGTCTACAAATAGTTAATGATTATAATTTAATAAGATCTACCAAAATTTTGCCATTTTATTCTAATTATGAGACACACAATTATTTTTATCATTTGCCCATGACAATAGATAAAATAGCTAGGTTGGAATAAGGTTTATAAGGTAACACTCTTTTAAGTTGTTTGCCTGTGTATTTTCTAAAAATCATTCAAGGAACACTATCTACCACATATACTTGACAGTTATACATAAAATATTCAAAATGCTGACTTGAAATTTTTAAAATCTAACATTCTCAAATGAAGAAATATCATATCTTAGTAGAATCTGTATCTACTAGGCTTCTGTAACCAGATATCTAAATCACAGTGACCATATCAAAGAAAATTTGTTATAGTTTGGTTGGCATGTATACCTTACTGTTGATTCATTTATTTTCTAGGGTACCAATTTTTCATGGATAAAGGAAAAATTGTATTTTTGTGGATATTTGATGGTGTGGTTTTAATATTTATTTTTAGCTTATAGAAAATTTGTACTTCATCAAACATTTAAATTTGTGGTTCACTTGTACCCATGTAGTCAACAAAAATTGGTATCCAACAAATAATAATGAATTCGCAGAAATACATCATGTCTTAAGACTGCCATATAAAATGATAACGGCCAAGATAATTTTTTTTATTGACAATTTCAATTATACCCATAGTCATGTCCACAATAGCCTTCTTTCTAGCCATCTTGGCTGCTTTATCTTTCTGTGCTCTATCCTTTGCTTCCTTCGCTCGTCTGATCTTCTCTTCTGTTTCTCTCATCTTAGCATTCTCCTTCATTGCATTCTGAAAAAAAGAGGTAATATTAACTAAAATTTGCATGATAAAAGGAAGCTTAGTAGTTGCCAATCACTACTTACAAAGCCAATAGAAAAATTGAAATTCGTTGAAAATTTGAATTTGTGGTTCACCTGTACACACAAAACCCACAAAAATTGGTATCCAACGAATAATAATGAATCCACAGTAATTCAAATTTCTTTTCAAGGACACTTGATACATTACTACTTACACTAAAGCTATCTCGGAATGCTTTTAAATCCTGGAAGAACTCTTCAAAACTGTATTTCTTGATATCAAATGCGTAGAACTTTCCCATTTCCTTGTACAAAGATTCCATCTTTTTCTGCATACCACTTAATACATCAGCCTGGTCTTTTGCTGATGTTATAAAGGAGTAAGAATAGTCAAGGAAAAATCTGTGGTATTTCAAGACATTGCATTCTATTTTATAACCTTGAATTTAAATGTGTTCATCCATGCCTCATGAGATAGAATTGTACCAAGCATAATGAAGACCTAGTTTAATAAGCACTAAAAAGGTGTTAAATACAAATGTAGACACAGATAGACAGACTTATGTACCAGCTTACATCTACATCATTTGGACCCTGGAGAATAGTTGCATCATTGGCAATCGTATCACATCTCCTAACTTAACATAGTTGAAGAACAATTCTTAGAACAAATACAACTGAATAATTGAATAATAAATCTTGTTAAGCATTTATAGCTAATAAAATTGAGAATGGAAATGGGGAATGTGTCAAAGAGACAACAACCCGACCAAAGAGCAGAAAACAGCCCAAGGCCACCAATGGGTCTTCAACACAGCGAGAAAATCCGGCACCCTGAGGCAGGCTTTAGGTGGCTTAATATACATGTAGTTAAGGATATGTTCATAACTTCAGCAAAGCGATCCCCATCCACATTAGATTTACTGATATTCTTTATATCAGTTTCTAACTGTTTTAACTGTTTCTCCATACTCTTCAGATTCTTTTGCACTGTTTCTTCTGAGACTGAAAAAAGAGAAACATTATTTTTTGAAGCAAGATGATAGATACTGATTGGTGTAAGACATTCTGCAATAAAAATAATATGTTTATCTTATACAGCAAGATATTCAGTGAATATAATGTTGTCACCCTGCAAACATCAAAAGAAAATCAAATGCTGTGACATATGCTTATTTTAAGCACTAAAATAAAAGAGAAATATGTTTCATTCAACAAAACTCTTTATTGCTTTTAATCAATGGGGTATATTAACCCATGAAAAAGTAATATCATCCTCTACTTAAGGTTGTACGATCTTTAAGTATTCATAATGATAGGTTTCATAACGAGTGAGAATTGGATATTGCTGGTTATTATACTTCATTTTAATGCCAGATTTTGATAGGCTAATACAAGGGAGATAATTCACTCTATCCCATTGCTCAGCAGGAGACAATTTGTTGAATGTCACCCTCTCTTGCAGACCAGTCACAAATTGATAATTAAAAGGACAACGAATAGAATTTACATATTAAATAATTTTAAAGACAATGCATAGAAATTCTACTGCTGCAATGAATAACACTATAGCAAGTGTTATATACCTGCATGTTGTATGGTGGTATGTATTTTTGTAGTTGTTGGGAGAGTTGTATCCCTTTATTTAATAATATAATTTTGTGATGTGATGTAAACAGTTTCTCATGGCATGTGTTGTTGTTGTATTCAAGCTATTAGTTTAGCAAAATGAGGAAGCATGTATATGTCGCCCCACATTCGTAATACAACTCAAATTTAAAAATTGTAGAATTCATTATGGTAATGAATTATCATACGTAAATGATTGTAACTGTTAAATTCTTAAAAGTTACTAACCTCTAGCTGCCTTATCTAAATGTGTAAATTCATCTAAAAATCCCACTAAATCTGGGTATTTTTGCTCCACAATGTTGGCTAAGAAATGTACCAGTGTTGTTTTACCATCTTGAGCTTTAGTATTTGCCAACTGAAAAACATATAATTAAACAGCATTCTTTATTATATTTTTTTGTAATATTGATTCATCTTGACGCTAATTCCTATTCCTTTCAAACATAAATACTTTCTTGAGTTTTGTTTTTGAGCAGAAGTACTTTTCATATTTTCATCCAAGAAAGTAAGGTTATATTGAATTTCCATCTTCAATCATGCTTATTCCAAAAATTTGAGAGAATTTAGATTTGGCTGATCTAATTATTTGTCAGTTCATCATTCCAACATTGCTTTTTTTCATCATATGCATTTATAACAGATCTATCATGTTTAGAAGATGCAGAAATATTTTTAAAAAAATTATAAAATTTTACCAAAATATTGTTTATTTGTTGATCCACAAATGCATTTACACAAAAACTCTTTGTATTAAAATACATTTCATAAAAGAAATAAATCCACAAAATCTATGAAAACAACAAATGAATAACAGAAATATATATGATTTAAAAGAAATTCATTGAAGAAATCAAGTTTGTAAACATTAATACTTAACTTACCTTGGGAAGAAAGCTTATTTCAAATCCTACAGACTGAGCATTTCTAGATCCAGCATTGAGAAAGTTTCCCATTAACAATATAAGTTCTAACAACTTTGAGAATTTAGTACTATTCTTAACTTCTTCACAGGCCTCTATTGCTGATACTAAATTCTAAAATGTAAAAGGAAATATAAAATGTACCGTAGATACTCGCCTAATAGTCGATCCTACTATAAGTCGGGGTCCCTTTTCAGCTCCAAATTCTAAGGATTTAGTCTTGACCCTCGTATAAGTCGGACAAAATTTGGGCATTTTTTTTCAGCTGACAGTAACTGAACGCCGGTAAAACCAATGCAAATCCAGGAATAATATTCATTTCTGCATTAATGTTTGTTTGGTTTGAATTTAGTTGATGCTCATCATGATAATTTATATTGCTGTTAATAATAAAGATGTATTCATTTCTCTTGTTTTGTTCACTGTTCAAATGTTAGATTAGCCATGTGTTGTTTACATAATGCATCAATGATTTTGTAGGGTATGACTAACAACCTATTGTTTGAGAAAAGCGAATATAAACCAATATGAACCTGAAAAATTTAAAGTCAATCAACACTTGTTGAAAATATTTTTCACAGCATACATAACTCGGTGTTAAATGAGCATGTACACTTCATAATTCTTATTATATTGTGATGATTAAAGGATTAAAAAAATTAAGTGAAGCTAATCAATATATTAAAATAACTAACTCCAACTCATTAGTGTCATCTGTTTACCTATCACTGATAGTTTTCACACCTTTAGTGAATACAACTCTTTGTCTCTTAATTGGGGTTATCAATGGATTATATTGGCTTGTCAATCAATTTTGTAATTTTTGTTTACCTGAGACACTATAATGAATAATATTTTGATTTTGGGAATGAATCTTAAAATTATTTTTTGATTATTATATGATTTATAAGCATTGAATTGATATCATGATATCACAATAATGACACAATAACTCCGCTGAAAACATCCTTTCACATATTTGGTACATTGTTATCTCCTTTTCATTTTTGGTTCTTGGCTCTTCTTTTGGGTTTATAGGAAAACCATGTGACCATGAAAATCAATACACAAACCGGAAACAGTAGAATTTCAACACGAATTTGCAGAAAATGTTTACCAAAGAACAAATAAAACACAAAGACAGTATTGAAGTCATTTGTTTTCAACAAAAACTTTTTATTTATTGATTTATGTAGGTTTGGCAATCAAAAACGTAGTTTTGACCAGGAAATTCACTCCTGACCACTTTTCTCAAGCTTGGATTTTTCCTCTGGTCGCTAGATCTCGTCTATTAGTCGGCCCCCCTCTCTGGATTATGAATTTTACTCCCAATTTTCCGACTAATAAGCGAGTAGGAACGGTATGTTAATTATAAAGAAATATTTCAGCCATATTCTAAAAGACACCAAGAAGTTTTATTTTGTAAATAATATCACAATTATGCTGTATATTTATATCATTCATGTATATACATGTTGTTTTAGTTGTTGTCATCTCTTGTAAATCTGTACAGATTGGCTTATGCATAAATAAATGTGGATAGTGTCCACATGTGGACACAGATGATGCCCCCGCTTGCATATCATATAGTTATAAAGGGACATAACTGAAGAACGGTTAAAGTGACGCCACCAAAATTCAAATTTGATCTGTGTTTTGTGGTAATAAGCATTGTGTATAAGTTTCATAACTTTTGGTTGAGGCAAACTTAAGTTAGAGAACGGAAACTAAAATATTTACAATTTTTCCATTTATAAAGGGGCATAACTCTAGAACGATTTAAGTGACGCCTCCAAAATTCAAACTTGATCTGTGTTTTGTCGTAATAAGCATTGTGTATAAGTTTCATAATATTTGGTTGAGGCAAACTCAAGTTAGAGAACGGAAACCAATTTTGGGACATACGTACGTACAGAAGGACAAGGGTAAAACTTAATGCCCCCACCACAACGGCGGGGGCATAAAAAATGTATCTTTCATGATTGTATTGTATAATTGTATGCATAAGGTGAGACGTAAATAAAATATTGAATTGAATACTGCTATTTTTTCGTAAAAATAATGAGATGTGGTATAATCGCCTATGAGGCAACGATACATCAGAGATCAATGATGTTTTTATATAAGTAATTCATTATATAAAGGAGAAGGTTCAGGAAGGTCTTACATTGGCCAGAATTTTTTTTTTTTTTTAATCTGGCTAAAATACTACAAATTTTTACAAGGAAATAGTTAAATATGATAATACTAGCATTACAAAATAACTTCTCAAATTATGACCCCTTAATTGTGCATTATTTATGGTGAAACATCAATTTTTTTCATAATTTCTAACAGTTTTTTGCCCCCACCACTGAATCAGAAAATTGTTGTGTCTAGGGATTCATTATAAATATTTGGCTTCTTTCAGTAAGAAATTTTTGAATTGAAGGTGGAGGCCAAGGTTTTTCTGAAGCAATGAGGTCCAAAAAATATTCAAAATGTGGTCACTTTTGAGCATATAATATACTGTTATGAAGAGATTTGTTTTACTTAGCATGACAAGATTTTGAAACTGACCCTTTAAGAATCATAGTGCAGCCTTTTTCGATATTTTATGATAAAGTTGAAATCCAAAGCAAAATTTTGGCTAACCTTGTCCTTAAGTGGATGTGCTTTCACCTCATTAGAAGATGAAAATACAAGAGGCTGTCAGATTGACAGAAAAAAACAGGTATGAAAATGATATTTGCAAATCTGGACCCCCAAACAGGATCAAGTGAAAAAAAATAAATGAATTTTTGTTGGGTTCAGAAATGGAAAGGCCAAAATCAATCTAAGTATCACTTTCCCTACTGAAAGGTCTACAACTCAACAATGATAAAAGCTAAAATTGTGAAAATTGAACATGGCCTTCATTTAGGCACAGGAAACAACATATTTAAAATTTTAAAAAGATTTTGTCCAGGAGTTTTCAAGTAATTGCAAGGACAACGCTCTAAGTATCACGTTTTGCTACTTAAAGGTCTACTTTAACAGACTTAAAGGTCTAACTTGACCTTCATTTAGTCACAGAAAACAACAAATCTAAATTGGAAAAGATTTCTTCAAAGCGGTTTCAAGTTATTACATAGACACTGTTTGGGAGTCCCAGTTGCCTGCCGGACCGCCCTGCCACCTGCCATACATCACCAAATCAATAAACAATATTTTCCTTTAAAAAGCGTTTTCAAGTTATTGCAAGGACAACGCTCTTAGTATCACTTTTCGCTACTTAAAGGTCTACTTTGACAGACTTAAAGGTCATTGGCAATCATATCACATCTCCATATATCATCTATTTAGTGAAAACTGTTGATAAGTATGCTTAACTTTTAAAAAAAATTTATTATAGCTTTATCACAATGAAAAAATAATATAATGGAAAAAATTTGCACAATAAAAAGTTAATTCAATGAATTCAAAAATAAGTCAGTTTTCTATTAATTTAGTACATTAAAACTTATTTTTATTTTCACAATTTTATCAAGTTTCACTTTCTTTTCATCATTTTCTAATGCCAAATACATCAAATTAGAACTAATGCCCCTTATTCAATTGATTTATACCATATGTTGAATGTGTACATATGACATGCAGAAGAAACTTACTGGTTTAATATCTTGCACCATGTCTGGAAACTGCATTTTAAACAACATGGAATTTAATCTAGGTGAAATTCTCTTTATACTACACATCTGTAATAAAGATATACATGTATAACTCATATAACTGACTTGAAAATGTTGACTGAAAATTACTGTTATAAAACTTGCACAGATGTGAAATTAAGGAATTTAAAGAGAAAACAGGCGTGACATATCACAGTAAATATCTTTTGTGTCAAATAAAATGTGAACAAAATGCCCAGTACTCTTTTGGAAAAAGACCTTGATCCAACCCTGTCTGCAGGGATTGAAGTTAAAATTTTGGCATGGTAGCCCACAGCTTTAATTTTGTAGCCCACATATTAATTCCTATACAAGAAAAGCAGAAATTTAAGTAGCCCACACCAAATTTTAGGGGCCATTGGCGAGTGGGCCCCTGCTAATTTCAAACCCTGCTGTCTAAACAAAAACATCTGCAAGAACAAAACATTTGAAGGTTTATACTTCATAAATATGCCTTTTAAGGAATAAATATATTTATATAAACAAAAACATCTGCAAAGAACAAAGCATTTGAAGGTTTATACTTTATACATACGCCTTTAAGGAAATATATAATATAAATATAGATCTCATTTTAGACAGGATCAAGTGGTTTCTACACATAATTGAATAGGAAAAAAGACAAAATAGGAAAAAAATTACTATTTGGAAAAGTTTTTCATACATATCATTTTAAAATCATTTACAAACTAGATGTGTAATTTTGGCAAAAATCAGCGGAGCAGAACCAAACATAAACTTGATCTGTAACTCATCATAGTAGACTCACAGACTAAAAATCAGCTCATTATGTGAAGGCGTTTATAAAAAAATTCTATATAACTGTTATTTTCACAAAGTTTTCAAAGTCCAAAGCCTGTAATTTTGGAAAAAATCAGCGGTGCGGAACTTAACGTATACCTGATCTGTAACTAATCATAGTAGATACTAAATATCAACTCAATATGGGAAGATGTTTAGCAAAAAGTCTGTATAACTGTTGGTTGCGGAATGATGGAATGACAGATAAGGGTGAAACTAAGTGGCCCTGACCTAAGTTGGCGAGGCCATAAAAATCTATCTGGAAAACTCTTGCTTCCTTAATTTCAAAATTACACCTTTTCAATGTCTTGGAGGGTATGACTTAAACAAAGGATATGCTAGATTGATTGATAAACAAATTAGCATTGGAAAATTGTATATGCCGAAATTATATTTTGTAAGAAGGCCTCGATGTGACTTCCAGATGAAGAACAGCAATAAAAGAAATATTCTCTTGTTTTGTGTTTTGTCAAATGCATGTAAAGATTTTTTTCTGTCATAAACTTATTTTCCTACATCCCTTATATTCTATTGTATTTCTTATTATGAGACAATATCTCAAGTACATTTATGTCACTTCTTTGTGCATTTATGTCATATCTATGTACATTTATGCCACATGTCTTTGTATATTTATGTCATGTCTTTGTACATGTATGTCATGTCTTTGTATATTTATGTCATGTCTTTGAACATTTATGTCACATTTTTGTACATTTATATTATGTCTTTGTACAGTTATGTCATGTCTTTGTATATTTATCTCACATCTTTGTACATTTATGATATGTCTTTGGACATTGATGTCATGTCTTTGTATATTTATGTCACATTTTTGTACATTTATGATATATCTTTGTACATTTATGTCATGTCTTTGTATATTTATGTCATGTCTTTATACATTTATGTCACATTTTTGTACATTTATGTTATGTCTTTGTACATTTATGTCATGTCTTTGTATATTTATGTCACATTTTTGTACATTTATGATATGTCTTTGTACATTGATGTCATGTCTTTGTATATTTATGTCACATTTTTGTACATTTATGATATGTCTATGTACATTGATGTCATGTCTTTGTATTTTATGCCACATTTTGTAAATTTATATTAGGACTGTTCCATTAAAACATACATTGTACCCAGGGAAGGCACTTTGAAAATAGAGTGACCACCCATAGAAGAGTCCTGCATACATTTAAACCAGTACAACACAATATTTCATACCCACCCATAGTGGCAAATTTAAGTTGCCTTCCCTGGGTCCCATGTATGTTTTTATGGAACAGCCCTTATGTCTTTGTACATTAATGTCACATCTTTGTATGTTTATGTCATGTCTTGGTACATTTATGTCATGTTTTTGTACATTTATGACATGTCTTTGTAAATTTATGTCATGTCATGTTTGCTATATTTATGTCATTTATTCGTACACATTAATGTCATGTCTTTTCTCATTACACAACATATGCCTCTTTATAACTCACAGTGACAGAAAACTGTTCTGGTTCAGATAAATCTTTGTACTGATCTTCTAATTTCTCTAATTTTTTCATCTGTTCAGGCTCTGGCATATATCGTATCAAACTTTCTAATATGGAAGACGACAATTTTTCTTCATCAACTTCTATAATTCTTCGCTTGATTTCTGGATATGGGACCTTGATGGATCCTAATAAAATAGCTGAAAAAATAATAAGAAATGCTGCAATCCATTTAGTAACAATCACTTTTCAGAAATCATGGGAAGTGCAGAATCTGTAGAGTGAATTGAAAATTTGCAGTTTTTTGGCTTTCCTTTTATTCCTACAGAAAAGTTGGATGAAAAACCTTCATGAGTGCCTTTGATAAAAGAAACAAAAATGGTATTTGTTAGTCAAATATATATATACATGCACATTTTTTTCCCTATCATTTCTTATTTCTTTTCTTAACAATGGCAGCCATCTTGTTTGGTGGGCTAAAATACGTCTGCAAAGGAATAATTCTAAAACCATTACATCAGTAATCGATTTTTCAAGATTATACATTATTTTAGGAAATAGCTAGTTCTTAGTTTTAGTCCTATATTTCATTTTAAGTAATGTTGACTATGCTGGGTTTTTTAAAAAAAAAACACAAAGTATCAACAGACAAAAGTTTTAGGCCTAATATTTGACTATAAAGCCTCAGTAATCCAGACAATTTTTAATAAATCAAAACACATCCAGCATTGATTAGTTAATTTCATTATAATGATTGTCAGCAAAACAAATATCGTTTTTCAGAATGATTGTTTTGTGTAAAACATTTTTGTAATAAACAGCTGCGCCATGAGCGCATGATACGCTCGTCGTCTTGTGTGTGAATTTTATGCAATAAGCATAAATAGTTTCTGACATACGGCGTGACATGCCAAAAAACCCTTTTTTTTTTTTACAAAAAACTCAATATCTCTAAAACAAAATTTTGAATCAAAACCAAAAAGTATCCAGATCTTTAGATTAATATAACTAAGAAGTGTGTAAAATTTTAAGCAATGATCATAAATCGTTTTTGAGATACAGCGCGACATGTGAAAACCCCCCCTTTAAAAAAAAAAAAAATCAATATCTCAAAAATAAAATTTTGAATCAAAACCAAAAAGTATACAGATCTTTAGATTAATATAACTAAGAAGTGTGTAAAATTTTAAGCAATAATCATAAATCGTTTTTGAGATACGGTGCGACATGTGAAAAACCCCTCCCCTTTTTTTACAAAATACTTAATAACTCAAAAATAAAATTTTGAATCATCACCAAAAAGTATACAGATCTTAAGGTTAATATAACTAAGAAGTGTGTAAAGTTTTAAGCAATAATCGTAAACTGTTTTTGAGATACGGCGCGACATGTGAAAAAACCCTCCCCCTTTTTAAACAAAATACTCAATATCTCTAAAATAAAATTTTGAATCATCACCAAAAAGTATACAGATCTTATGATTAATATAACTAAGAAGTGTGTAAAGTTTAAAGCAATAATCATAAATTGTTTCTGAGATACGGCGCGACATGTGAAAAAAAACACACACCTGTTTTAGTTACTAAGTCCCGTAACTCAAAAAGTTTTAATCTAATTTTCACCAAAAAGTATACAGATCGTTTGACCATCATAAGAAACAACTATGTTAAGTTTCATGAAATTTGGATAAGTCATTCTCAAGTTACGGTGCAACATGTTTACGCCGGACAGACAGACGGACAGACAGACGGACAGACGGACAGACAGACGGACGGACGCCGGACATTTGTATACCATAATACGTCCCGTCAAAAATTTGACGGGCGTATAAAAAAAGAAAAGAAAAAAAAGTGAATTAAAAAAAAAAAATGTTTACTTTCATAATACCAGCTACTTCATAATTCTGAAAATTTCAAGTCGCAAAAACAAATTTTTAGAATGCAAAGGAGGAATTACACGACTAGGTAGAACTAAAAATCATAAAGGGCTTACACAAATTCTGAGCAGCTTTAGGATCCAGCACTTTCAACTCTTTAGCCTTTTTTGTAGGTTTCTTGTCTGCTGTTTCTGAGGTATTCAAATTCTTTGCTTAAAAAAAATAATATTAAAAATATTAAAACAAATCTTTTCAACAAGCTATGGGTAAAAAACCTTAAGAATTTCTACCATTTTTGTAACTTTTAGTGATTTTCAAACTTGTTTTAATATCACTTATATATTGTCATTTTATTAAAAGATCTTCTACCCAAATCTAACCTTAAAATTTTATGCTTGGAGAAAAACCAGGCATGCTTTTGTATTTAAAAATGCTGGTCATATATAGAAATGCTACAAATCTATTATTTTTTTTGTATATAAAGATCAGTAATTTGTAAATGCATGTCAAATATATACATTTTTCCGAAAAAATTTCATCCAAGAGCATTTCTGCATAAACTCATAACAATAAAAAATGTGTAATTTTACTTGAAAAGAAAGCAATTTGTAAAGGTATGAAAAATAAAGAACTTTATATTTACACTTAAAACATTCTAACCTTTAGCTTGTACTCCAAAATTTTCAATAAGACCTTGAAATAAAGATTCATCCTCAAACTGATCTTCATGAACTTGGACCCAAAATGAATCTTTTTCCAATTTTTTAGCTTGTACCTAAAATTATTATATATGCATCAGTAATTAACAATAATCAAATGTAAACATTGAAAAGTAATTATATTCCATGCAGTGTAAAAAATATCATACAGCCTCTATCATCATCTTTTTAGAAATTTCAATAAAATCTAGTGCATAAATTGTTTGTGTAGAAATCTTAATATAAACAGGAACAAGAAATCACATCCTTCTTTTCATGGGGATGTCGTTTTATAGAGCTTGTACTTTTCGTATAAACTTATTGGTCCTTTAAATAAAATTATTGAAATAGTTGAAATTTGGCTTGAACTAGATTTCAGTTACCAATGGTTACTGCAAGTACTCTTAAATCGCTACTTTGTGTTTTTTTTTTTTCTTTTTGCTAGTCGTTTTTGTGCCTAAAAAATAACTGATGAGTTAAGCCTTTTGTAATTTTTGACGGTTTGATTTTATGTTGTGCTGTTTCACCACTGTCCCAGGATAGGTGTGGGATTTGAGCACTAACAAACATGTTTAACCACGCCACATTTATTATTTTACTTTCCCAAGCCATGTGATTGTAGGTTTGCTGTCTGTCATAACTGCTTCTTTGTTTAATGTTATTAGCTTATATCAGGATGTCTGTTTTTATGTAGTGTACGGTGCCCTGCACTTTTTTCATATCCTTGCCTTTGATTTTTGGTGGACAGTTGTCACATTGGCAATCTTACCACATCTCCTTATTTTTATTGAATGGCAATGGCAATCTTACCACATCTCCTTATTTTCATTGAATGGCAAAGTGAAGTAGTTTTAATTTGAACAACGATATTACAGTGAGTCAACACCTTTACAAAAAAATACTTTCTTTGTTGAATTAACAAAAGAAGGCTTTAATAATAATTGTTGTGAAATAATTAAACAATTGATTAAATTGCATTATGTAAAATTTGCAAAACCTCACATACTAAAACATCCTCTCACATCTGGTACCAGTAAAATCTTAATACTATATTTAGAACTTTCATATTGAAATTTTACCTGATTCCAGTTGAGTCTTTTGGTCTGCATTGGAGGTTGGTATTTCTTCTTTTTTATACCATATGGAAGACTAGTTGATGGTGCTGCAGGTGGACTCATGAATCCTGGTGGCGGAGGAGGTGCCCCTGGAAATCCTGGACCTCCTGGCGGTGGAGGAGGGGGTGGTATTCCCCCACCTGGTGGTGGTGGAGGAGGAGGGGGAGGAGGACCACCACCAAACCCTGGTGGTGGAGGTGGTGGGGGAGGAGGAGGGGGAGGTCCTCCACCCCCTGGTGGTGGTGGGGGTGGCGGAGGTGGAGGTGGAATTGCCCCACCTTCTGGTGGTGCTGGCGGCCCTCCTCCTCCCCCAGCTGCTCCTGTAGACTGGATCTGAGCACCAATACCCAGTTTTATCTGGAAAGAAAAGAAAATCAATCTAATCATTTAAGCAGGTAAATAGATACACACATATTTGAAATAAACAAGATCAGTAGTGAATCGAATTAATATTCATACCTTCTTAACAAAAAAATAACTTTTAAATCTTCCTAAATACACAGATAACACCATTTTCATAGTTGTTTATCAATTTTTCTGTTCTTTATCTACCTTGTTTATTGTAAGCTATGGCTCTTTGTCTTGCAGGTAAAATATCTTATAGTCGTATTCAGGGTAAATGACTGTTTCTTTATTTCCTAGTTTACAGAACAGTCAAATATTCCTTTGTTAATTTATTGGCCTGCATTTCTCTTAATAATTCTTTTAAATATTCAGAATTTGAATACAACTGAAAAAAAATCCTTTTTATTTCTTACTCTAAAGTAAAAGAAGTTTTGTTTTCATAGAGTATTAATAAACTATCGTTCATTTTACAAACTACATGCAGGTTAAAAATTATATGATATAATTAAATCCATTAAACTTATGACTTATATGTTATGTCTTGTTCATTCTGAGTTATTTTCATAGTATAAAATTTTATTTTAAGAAATATCTAAATTTCAAACTTGAAAAAGCTACAAACCAAAAAAATCCACACATCATACTTTTCTCACTACAAAGACTACCAAACCACATATTCACTGCATACCTTTCACCCTTTTATATGTATTACACAAAATACATTGATCCTAGTTAACCTTCATGTCATGATGCATAAGAGTAAGAATTGAAATAAGAATTTTAAGTGGAAGTTTAGGTTGAAATTATCTGACAACTAGGAATATCTAAAATTTCAAAAGTTGTGAAAAGGCATTTAATAATAGATATGTGTGGATTAAAGAAAGCAAAAAAGATGAATGTATTTCATATTTTCTTGTTTCTGTGACAATTTGCACAGAAGTAGGTCATCACATTGAAAATTTTTTCTCATCATTCCAAAAAAAGCTTGAATCCATTTTATGTAACAAATTAGTTTGTTAGGATTTCAAACACAAAATAATAATAAAAAAAAAATTAATACACAATTAGCATAATAATGTGACCTACCATTTTTTCAGTATGTTTAACCTAATCCGAGTTTATAACAAAACTGCATGTGACTTTTTTATTATCTGTGCAGGGAGATAACCCAGAATTCAGAATAGTCATCTTATGGAAGCAGATTAGTGTTTATGCTTAGTGTTTCAAGACAAAATCACCACCTCCAAATTCTAGAGCTACAATTTATTTAAGCAAGGAACTGTGTTAAGGATTCTATAGTCCTGGCTTATCATACAGCTTAATTAACAAAACAAATAATAAGTGTCTAAATTTAACTCTTTATCTTTTATATATTACAAAGGCGTTTTTTTTTTGTCCATTATATATATCTATAAATAGTCTTGTTGTGTTTATATAACAGGATAATGATAAAAATCAGTACCTGAAAAAATTTATTAATAATATTTCTCTCATGGTAAAACTTGTTTATGAAAATCTTGATAACCTGTGTAAACTGACCTCTTATCTTCATACAGGTAGTTTAACACACTTGATGTTGTATTGTACGAATGTATAGTTAACATAAATATAAGTTGCAAAAAGATTTAGTTTTGAGGGTTTCAATGTAGACAGAAGTCATATACATTGTATGTATATAAAATTAATATATGAGACGCAAAATTAGAAAATACAAAATGATTGATGTCCATGATGTTTAATAGCTTAAAAAGATTTTAAAAGAACAGACAACTCTACTTTTTACAAATTTTCTTGCAGTATGTAATTTTATTGTTGTAACAGGTATCATGAAAAAACCTTAGATCTAATGCAATCAGAAGGGTGTGAATAGGACTAGAATAAACCAACTGACTCTACCTGTTTCATATGAGCAATTTTGACTTTTTAAAGCAAATAATGTCCAAATATTAACTGAGAAATAAAATTAAGAATTTGCAAGAAAAGTTGCATAAGAAAGAGGAGTCTTGCTGACAAGCATGATTGAATGAATTTCTACCATGAAATATGTGACCACTCGATACCTGATCTTGACCAGCTGGCATGCTATCCATAGTACTAAAGCCTGACTTATTGCCAGTCGCAGTAATCATTAAGAACATTTTTTCCTGTCAAATCAGAATTTAATAGCTGCTTAAAAAATTCTTGAGGAACCAAATAATGAATAAAAAATTGGTAGTGAAAGTGGACAGCAGTCACCAGTGTTGAAAATTGATTCACAATTCAGCTTGCCTTTTATAACAACTTTATTTGAGCACTCAGACACATACATGAATATCTGCAAATATTTTGTACATCTTTATTTGTAGATGACTTATCCCGAAGCAATTTTCACATTAATAAAAACTTCACAAACATTTCTAAATTAAAGTAGGTCTTACAAAATTCAGGTAACATTTGAATGTTGTAAAAAATATGTAGTCAGTAAAAGCATTCTGGGTATACACAGTAATACAACACAAATGGAGTTTACACACATGTAAAATCCAGGCTGAAATGTCTATCCAATTGTGTGCATTGTCTTCATTGCCCTCTATATACATACATGTGAAAATTAAAAACAGAAAAATAAGGGGTATAAGACAGCAACCCAGTGACACAAAAAAAAACCCAAAAGAAATAAAAAGGTCTATATGAATATGGAATTACAAAGAACCTTACAGCATACCCCCTTTCATGTGTTCATCGATTTTCTTGCAACTTAGCAGTTCAATTTGCATTTTATCAAGAGTTTTTCATATGTAAAAATTAACCCTACTTGGTCAAATTTGGATTTTTTTCAAATATGAATATATTAACACAGATACAAAATCATGTAATAAATCACTTTGAACTTGGGTACAATAGAAAGTGCTGAATGTGAAAAAAGAATCTGCATCAATAAGTTGGTTTACCATATCAAGAATGTTTCAATCACTACAGTATTGGGACAAAAGTAATTTATTTTTCCATATTTCCCCCATATGTTTTATATAAATCAATTGAATTTCACAAAATGATGTGGTATATCATGATACAGATTTATCAAAAAAAAGTTAATAAAGTTAAAAAGAACAAATAAAGTACACAATGCCTTACTTTTTCTTTCATAACAGTGAGCTCATCCTCATATTTCTTCACTTTTTCCTCCAATGTCATTGCTTTAGCTTCTGATTCCTGTTTAGCAGTAATAGCCGTCTCCAATTTTGAACTTATTTCTACAATGCTGACTTCTGCATCTTCTACTCTTGATTTTTCATGTAATGAACCTGTTTAAAGAAAAAAGGAAAGAATATTTTTAAAGATAATTTACATGTTAGAATATATCAGAAGAGTGAAAGAATCTATGATTTTTGTACCAGAATATAAAAGTACTTTGACTTTTCATCCATATTGAATAAACTAGTGCTTATGTTGTTACACCACAGTTCCAAGAAAGGTGAAGGAGGTTTGAGCGCTCAAAAACAATTTAAACCTCGTCACATTCCTAATGTATCTGTCCTAAGTTAGAAGCAGCCTTTAATCCTGTGGTTGTGTTTGGCTGTTGTCTGACATACTGTGGATTCATTCATTTTCATGGGGACCAATTTCCATGGATTGAAGAAAAATTATATTTTCATGGTAACTTGATTTCATGTTTTGCCAAAGTTTCCATACAAGCCTATAGGAAATTCATACTTTGTTGAACATTTAAATTCGTGAATTGCCTCAAACAATGAAATTAATGAAAATAAGAATCCGAACTAATAATAATGAATCCACAGTGATCGTTTTTTTAGCATAAATCAGGCCATTGAGTTTTCTCTTATAAATTGATTTTGTCATCCTTTTATAGCTTACTATAAGGTTTGGATTTTGCTCATTGTTGAAGATGGTACAGTGACATATATCTATTTTCATCTTAATCCTGAAGTTTCTTATGGATAGTTCTTTTCTTACTTCTACAGTACTAAATTAGCATTAAAGATGTGTGTTTTATTGTCTTGAATTGATATTGTAAAGTACTTGTTTCTGTGCATTTTTTCTGTGACGTTTTCTATATCAAAAACCTAACTGCAATTGTCAGTGTTTTAACACTGTTTTCTATCCACTTTTAAAGAATTTATGTTGGTGTCAAATCTATATGGTAGTTTCTGTAAATTCAATCACAACTTGATAAAGATTCAAAGTTAAAGCAAAGTATGGATATCTGTCAGCCATTGAAGACTGTATCATGTGTATAATGACCTACAAATGTCAAAGTTTTGTTGTATTGTTCTGGGGTTATTTGTTATCTCTCTTACTTCATGTGTACTTTATTTGTTCTTTTTAACTTTATTTATTCGAGCGTCACAGATGAGTCTTTTGTAGACAAAACGCACATCTGGGGTACACAATTTTAAGCCTGGTATCTATGATGAGTTTATTAACATTTATTCAACATCCACTTTAATTAATATGTTAAGATTTTCTATTGTAATGAATTTTAATAATAAATGTGAAGTACAAGATAAAACCATTTCAAAACAATTCCTTGAAAACAAAGACAGCAATTATTAATCAAATGCTTACCTGTTGTCCATATCAAGTTACCATCAGAGATAATGTTTATTCAATTATGTATCAGGTCAAAAAGAATATAAAATTACAGCTTACAGTAAAACTTACTAAGTAAAGGTTCTACATCAATATCAAATCGCTTTGTGTGTCTGAAATCTGGGTCTGTTCCATTCTTATGTAAAACTATCTGTGTTATACATTCTTCTATTAACTTATAATATTGAGGTCTGAAAAGGTCAAAAGTACATAATAAGTTAGTATTTGTTGACTGTTAGTGTTTCAACCAAACCATGCATACTGTGGATTCATTTATTTTCGTGGGTACCAATTTTCGTGGATATTTGATTTCGTGGTTTTATCAATGTCTACATACAAGACAATAGAAGATTTGTAATTTGTTGAACATTTAAATTCGTGGTTTACCTATACCCACGAAACCCACAAAAATTGATATCCAATGAATAATAATGAATCCACAGTACATTAAAGGCTATTTCCAAATTCATTATATGAGGCAGTGGAAGACACCTTATATTAATAATTCAGGGGAAAAGGGTTTGAAACAAAATTTTCACACAATGACCCATTAAATTTTTGACGCCTACACACCCAACTTACATTAAATTTGGAAAAGTCCTAACCAAATTTCTGTCAACCGATAAGTTTGATATGAATTTTATCTTTATTTACTTTAATAATTGAAACAGGATGCATTGCATGCTATCACTCACTGGTATGGCAAATCCAGATGAAGGTATTAAGAACCTATTACTTGCTGTGAAAAATGTGATGAAAATTTCATATACAATGTATGTGCATGAAATTATCAGCATATCAGTTTTAGACAAACATGAGTTAGGGTTGAACATAAAAACAAGAATGTGTCCATAGTACACGGATGCCCCACTCGCACTATCATTTTCTATGTTCAGTGGACTGTGAAATTGGGGTCAAAACTCTAATTTGGCATTAAAATTAGAAAGATCATATCATAGGGAACATGTGTACTAAGTTCCAAGTTGATTGGACTTCAACTTCATCAAAAACAACCTTGACCAAAAACTTTAACCTGAAACGGGACAGACGGACGAACGGACGCACAGACTGAAAAAATATAATGCCCCTCTACTATCGTAGGTGGGGCATAAAAATGATAATGTGTTAACAATTGGCCGTTTCAGAATCTAAAGAACTATGGGTAATTTTATTGTTCGTACCCCATTGGTTGAATTTCAATTGTTATGGACCTTTTTAACCAATCACGACACTTTGGTGTACACTTTTGAAAATAATACCCAGAATGCATTAGATTCCTAAACGGCAAATTGTGAATTAATTCAGTTGTCTGCCATTTCTGTTTTGCAAAATACCCTTAGCTTGATGAAATATATAAAAATGAATTTTCACTGATTTCGAAGATGTTAATTCTGTTTATTTTTTGTCAAGTCACAGTTAGCTTCAGAGTTTATTTAACTACTTACCTAGCATAGGCATCATCCCGTACAATTAATAAATGCTGTAATATGGATAAAAAGTAAGGTTCTGATATTGTGTCTTTTGTCGAATTATAAACCAGGTCAAAACACTGGCGTGGATCTCTAAGATATGGTTAAGAATAAATAATCATTTGTGAGACTACAATTTTGAATGATTGCTGTTTGCTTAAAGTACATATGTTGTAATACAAAATAAACATTAATTCTGTAATAAACACCTTCACAGCACCTTATATCCAACAAAATTAAGCCTGTAATTACTATACAATAAAATAACAATTTTTCAGCTTCCTTTTATTTTTTCAATGAAATCAGTTAACTCAATGATGAAGGGCTCTCAAAGGATTTGCATGTAACATCATTTTAAATTTTGAACAGAACCCTTGCCTAAGGTGTGAACCATGAAGGTATATATGTAACAAACCATAGCACTGCATAATTTAACAAGCGAGAAGAAAAAAAGTATGGAAAACTGATTTGCAAGACTGATGGACGGACGGAGAGACCGACCGACCGACCAACCGACCAACTGACCGACCAACAGACAGACAGACAGACAGACAGACAGACAGACAGACAGACAGACAGACAGACAGAGTGCAAACCTATAGTCCCCTTCGACTTTGTTGGGGGACTTATTAACTAATGAAATTGAAATTGCTTGTTAAGAAGCTGAAACTTTATCAAACTAAACGTAACTTACAAATACATTTGTTTGATTTGTAGTACAGCTATCATTATTTGCATTATTGGTTGGTAAATCTTTGTCTTTTGAACCCTAAGGCTTACCCCCATCCAACCCCTTATTACTGTTATGACATAACTAAAGATGGACAAGCAATATCAGGGGAACAAAAGATCATGCACAACAATATCAGGTGAACAGTAAACTGGAACCTAGCGTTGTATTTCTATTCTAGCAGTTAATAATTGAAAGGTGGTCAGTATACAGCTATATAAGGTAAACATTAAACTGGTACCTAATAATTCTTTTTCTATCCTACCAGTAAATAACTGAAGTGTTCAGTATACAGCAATATCCAGTTTTTGCTGACATGCAGGTATATTATAAGGGTAACATACAATATGGTATCAAGGATACTCTAGCTCAATATGAGCATTATCATAACGATGAATAAATTCATCTAAATCTTCTTCCTTATGGTCATGGAAAATTCTTAAATGTGTCTGTAATTCTTCATCTTGCTGAGTATCTAATGACTGAAATTAGAAGACAAAATATAAATGAGACCGAATAAAAATACTCTGATTAAAATGGAAATAACACTTGATAAATTTTATGGGTTCTGGTTAGCTGTCTAAATGATGTATACACCTCATAAACTGTGTTTAAAAATACAATGAAAAGTAGTTATCTATTACAGAAAGCATATGTGGTTGTTCTGTTGGCATCCTCTAAAACTATCCTTTTTTAAAACTTTACAGAGGATTGATATTGAAGTGCTTCATTGTATGCAATTTGTTTAAACTTCAATACAATATTTACTGTAAATTCAGAAATAATTGCGTGCATTTATTATTGCCAATCCTTAACCTCTGGCAAAAATGCAGAATCTATTTAATGTGATTGCAAATATTTCATGAAGGAGTATCACTAGTGAAACTATGAATGTGAAAGTTTATTACTGCAAACCTGATGCTGTCACATTTTTCGCATTAATAAAAACATCGCAATAATTTCTGAATTTACAGTAAGCAGACAACAGAAACTTGTTCAACACTCACCACAACAAAAATGACCTTGTTATGTTAACCTTTTATAAGATAAAAACTTCCAAAGGTATCTATAAATATGGTGTAGCTTTTATCAGGGCTTTACCAATCAAATAAATGTAGGAGGCTAGGATTAGAACTCTTATTTTTGAAAGTGGGACGTTTAAAGATGTAGTGTATGTCCATTTGATATATGCAAAATTACTTTACAAACCCTGTTCAGATCACGGCTATTCCAGAATTAATTGTAGGAAGGGGGATTGTAAGGCACCTAAAGTTAATAATATAAGGTTTGTGGGATTTCAAACAAGTTTTCACTATAGTCCATCAAAATTGAATGAGTGGTAGTTTGAGAAAAAGTACCATCCATCCCACCATACATCTAATTTTGGAATAGCGTTAAAATCTAAGAATACAAACCCCAATCAGATCTATCATGCCTGTCCTCATTATTTCATTCCGTAAATGCAGTCTGAAATCTAAGTCATCTGGCGTACTGACAATAGCATTGACTAGTTGAATGTTGGCCACTTGCATGGGTTGGTTGTCCCGCATACCTAAACCCATGATTATTGGCACAAATCTATCTCGCCCTCGAATCTCACCACATACTGTTATACCCTCCAATACTTTTTCATGGCTGCAAAGAATTAGAATTAGAACTTGTCAATTTCATAGAGACCTAAAATAAGCCAATGATTAAGTGAAACAATACTACAAAATTATATTAATTCCGGTTGAAGATATTTAATATATCCTAATATCTCTATTAAAGTAACATAGTTCTATAGCCCTTCTACAGTTATGTATAATAGCACTGGGACACCAACCTTTACATGAGTAAATAGCCTCTTGAATGATTTATCTAAAAAAATTCTAATTCAGGAATTATCCATGTTTTTTTTTAAATGAATTGAACAATTAAAAAAGAATATATTCTGACTTACACTGTTTATTTATGCTTACAGCAATAAGTTCTATGCCTTGGAGATATTAAGCAAACAACAATCAATTAATCAAACAATCTTATGCCTGGAACATTACACCAGATTTCGTTTAAACTGAAGGATAAATGTCAATGCCTATCAACATTCTGGTATTAGTCATTAAACCTCAGGAATAAATCAATACATATGATGTAATCTTGTTGCTGCTAACCTATACATATGAATCAGCAATGCTCTAATAGTCCATATAACCTACCCATCTGGAGGTACTATACATATAGCAGCTAGAAGTCTGACAGCCTCTAACATTGTATTAGGGTCTGAGGGATCTACTGTTCTTGATAATATAGTTAAGGCTTCTTCATGTCCTATCATTTGCATCAAACCAAACTGAAAATAGAGATATATTTATAACAGATCCATTTTCTGTCAGAAATAAAAACATTGATGTATAAGATAGAATAAAACTTGCAATTCAAAACAGGTATTTTTTATTTAAGCTTTTTTGTTAAATACATTTTTTGTGTGTATTATTTTGACAATGTGATTGTTTCTAGAGCTAAAAAACAGAACTGATTGTATCAAAAATACTTCTGAAAATGTCTGATTTCAATTTTAAATAATATGTCACCCAAATCACATATTCATAACAACTGAAAATAGAAAAGTATTTTTATTTCTCCTTGAACAGAAAACTATGGATTCATTTATTTCATGGGACACTAACTTTTGTGAATTTTGTGGGACACAGCAAACCAAAAAATTTTGAATTAAACGAAAAATAATCACAAGTTTTTATTGTTATAAATGAATAAATTGAAAACATGATACAGTTTCAATATTGTTAATTGATTTACTGCATATTTCTCTAAGAATTTTTTGTATCGAGCAGGAGTTTTAATAGAAAATACTTTTCAGATCCTTGTGTTGAGTGAGTTTTGAACGCTGCCATTTATTTCTGATTTTTTGCAAATAAATTATCATAAAAGGAGAATATCTCCATGGAACACAGATGCCCCGTCCCAGCTTCTAAACTGAATATGCAAGAGTGATGAAATAGTGAATTCAGCAATTTATCCATTTAAAAATGGACATTACTAGAGAACAGAAAAAGTGACACCACCCAAATTCCAACATGATCTGTGTTTGGTGGTTATAAGCACTGTGTATAAGTTTCATAACAATTGGTTTAGGCAAAGTAATGTTAGAACACAGAACCTAATTTCAGAATGTACAGACGGAAAGATGAATGTATAGACAGACAAGGGTAAACCTCAAAGCAACTTAAACATTGGACTTGGAACAGATAAAAGTATATCTTGATAATTTTGTTCATATCAGGAATTACCTTATTGTTCATAAATGCTTTGAGACATCTCACAGCCTCATATGTACTTCTTCTCTCTGTTTTTCTGCAAAATAAAAAAGCAAATGAAAATAACAAACTATCCTCTACAAGTCTTTTAGTCATTTGGATTGTAGATTTGCGGTCTCCTTGTAGTATACCTAACTTCAGATTAAATTATTTACAAATAAAAAACACTAGATTTTTACAAACTTTTCTTGCTATTCTTAGGTTTTATTATTGCATGTCTTGCTCTGTTAAATTTATTTCTTGATTCAAGGCAATTTGTTTCCTTTCTAATGAACATTTTTTTTATTTTGTGATGGTGACTATCATTTTGAATTGTTACTTACAAAATATAAATGAACAAATTTTTTTGGTACCATTTGATCATTCAATAATCATAATGAACAAGTGAAATATTAAAGTCTTAAGTTGACAAAATATTTATGATAAACAACTTTTAATACAAAACATTAACCAGCTGACACTGCATGGATGAACAGACTGTCAAACAGACTTGACAACATAATGCCCCCTTCTATTGAAGGCTAGGCCTGAACATGTTGAATGGTGAACCTGAAGTTTTTGGCCTGGTTGACACTTACAGAAGCAAAGTACTGCAAACCAACTTATATACTTTTTTTTCCCGTTAAGCCCTTTCAAGCTAGCCTTGCAGCGATTCATTCTCCTGATTTTCGAATATTCTTGGGTGTAGTAATGTAAGGGAAGACGCCAAATAATACATATTGGAGGCTGATTTATATTCACAATAGTTTTCTAATCGCAAAAGGGAAAAAAATAAAATGCTTGCAAAAATTAGTTTGTATACAGTATGTAGCCATTTTAAACAAGCTACTTACGAATCACAGCAGTAAGTTAAATTCCGTAAAATTCCATTTAAACCTCCAACACCAAACTCTTGTACCCAACTGTAAATATAAAGAACATCAGCATGAATTAGATATTTCCATGAAAGTATTTAATGAAAAGATTTTTTCCATACTTATTTCCATATCACTTATTTTTACATGTAAGATTTTTGCTTTTTTTCAGTTGGTTTATAGGTACTGATCTATTCAACTTTACTGCTGTAAACATTTTCATTTTTTTTTAATTTACAACATATAAAGGTAAATTTAAAAAAAAACTTCATTCATGGTATTGAGATTTCCTTTCAGCATGTTCAGCATGTTTAGCATGTATTTTCTTCCAGGTCCAATAAACGTACATTTTTTTTCAAGTTTTATATATCCTCTTCTCAAAGGTATATTCAATGCATTCTAAACACAAACAGTAATATATGAATGTATCTTGGAATTATTTTTTAGACATAATGATAAGATTTTAGATATGAAATCATAAACATTTCTACCATGTGATCACAAACGTATAAACATAATAAAATCTGATGATGTGTTATTCTGAGATAAATTGCACTGCATAGAAAACAGTAGATATTAAATTATGTGTTAGCAGAACCAGTAATGGGAGAGGACGTCTGTAATGTTGTTTTAACATGCGTCCCATCCCTATTGATAATCTAGCATATAAAATATGTTTAAACTATTCTAATTAAATCAACAATACCACATTACCTTACAGGATTGCTTGTTAATGATACTCGTAAAGATTCCAATAATTTTAATCGTTTATCTCCCTTGACTTCAGGATTCCGTAATTCTGCAATAAAACTGGCTGGTGTATCAAGGTTTCCTGGTCCCACAATCTGAAAAGTCAATATAATAATGTCAAAATCATCAAAATACAATTTGTCATGTATTTTATGTTCAATTACATTGTTTACCAATTTGAAAGGATTTGGTTGGGCGATCCTTTAATTATGATCCAGACACTAAACATTCTGTATGGGCCTGTCCCAAGTCAGGATCCTGTAATTCAGTGGTTGTGGTTTGTTACTTTGTTACCGTAATCAGCCTTCACACTGGTACAATATCCCCACCCCGCTTCTCTCCACAGAATTCAGGTGAAAAAAACTTTTTGTAACTGATTGAAAACATCTAATGAAACTCCATTAATTTCAAATCGTGTTTTATCGTTTACGGTATTTTCAAGGTAAAACCAGTTTACCATCATCAATTAGAAGTTGAAAATACTTCTAAATGATTCATAGGAACACTTCACGAGTGTGAAAATAAGTCAAAACCATAAAAAACAAGAATGTGTCCATAGTACATGGATGCCCCACTCGCACTATCATTTTCTATGTTCAGTGGACCGTGAAATTGGGGTCAAAACTCTAAATTAGGATTCAAAATTAAAAAGATCATATCATAGGGAACATGTGAACTAAGGTTCAAGTTGATTGGACTTCAACTTCATCAAAAACTACCTTGACCAAAAACTTTAACCTGAACCGGGACAGACAGACAGACTGACGGACGAACGGACGCACAGACCAAAAACATAATGCCCATAAATGGGGCATAAAAAAATTGACAAACTTGTGTTTATTTCAAGCGGAATTTCGAATAGCACATGTAAATCGATAATAAATACGGTGAGAGTGTATGGAAAATCTGTACTTATTAGTAGAATACAAATTTCAAAGCAAAAAAGTTCCATCCTTAAGTAAAATAATGTTTAAAATATCCATCACATTAATGTTTGAAGGATCTTCAGCTAAAACAAAACACATGTGTCAGTATGAAACACCAAACCAGAACGAATAACCGATTAAGTTTTGTAGTTTATATATCATAAGCTAGTTCCCAGCTGACTTATAGTACACTTTTTTAGTTCCGTTAAAATCAAGCGGATTTCAGTTTATTTTATGCAATGCAGTGAAATGAAATGAGAAATTAGTAATGAAGCATTTCATTTTGAAATTTATCAGTTAATATTAGACATGTTAGATTGTGAATAAAAATTGCATATTTATATGGATTAGGTAAACAATTAGTTTTGAAAACAATAAGAGCGACCTCTGCAATTTCAATAACAAACATGGCGGAACGTAACAAACCTCACAAAATCGAGTTTTTCTCTTATTTCTTGCTTATCGTACTCTATAATCTGCACCCCTGTCTAGTAGGTTCAATTTTTGGAGAATAAAACCGTGGACTATATAAGCCTGAATTCTGTACTGTATATATCATATTTGTTTTTCTTTCTGACATTGTTATGTACATACATCAGGCCATTGGTTTTCTTATTTGAATTGTTTTACATATTGTTATGTCAGGCCTTTTTTCAGCTTGCAATGGAATGTACGTGAGTTTTGCAAATTGTTTGAAGACCCTATGGTGAGCAATAGTGGCTAATAATATCCATGTCATTTGGTCTCTGGTGGATAGTTATCTCATTGGCAATCATACCAAATCTTTTCATCTAATATCAAAAGAAATCAAATTTTTAAGTTAACTAAAGGGCATAACTCATGAACTGAAAATTTAAAATACCATAAAAAAGGAAATTGACTTGTATATTTTGATACATGACATTGTGTTCTTTTGGAAAGGTTCTATTGAATTGCTTAAACTATGAGTTATAAGATCTATGTTGCGTCTTTGATAGCCAATGGTTAAGATTTGTTTTTCTCCTCCTTTCTTTAAAAGTTTCCCAGCGTAAGGAAATGACGAAGTAGTCCTTGGCTTGTGAGAATAACAGATGTTTTGGCTACTTACAGTGTGGTGTCATGTTAATACCTATGGACACAAAGAACTAACTGGAACTGTACTTTCTTACTGGTATAAATAAAGGCAACAGTTGTACACCGCTGTCCGAAAATCATAAATCGACCGAGGGAAAACAAATCTGGGCCACAAACCAAAACCGAGGGAAACACATCAACCACAAGAAGAAAACAACGAAACAACAGAACTCTCAAAGGGCAACAAAAAACAACAATACAACATTCATAGAAACGAACTATTAAATAACAACTGCCATATTCATGACTTGGTACAGGACATTTTAAGAAAAAATGGTGGGTTGAACCTGGTTTTGTGGCTAGCCAAACCTCCGCGCTTTATGGCAATGTTAATTATATCGTTAAAATGACATCATTACATGACGGGAACAGAGTACAAATAAATGCAAAAACACCAAAGACAGAGAAATACATAAATAATTAATATTATAGTACATTTCGACATGTTAACCACAGAATAACAACGAATAACTAAAATAATTTAGGACAGTACACAAAAACAGCTTAATAAAATTACGAAGTGTGTGTCTGTAACACGAATGGATCAACGCCACAAAAAGTAACGTCACAGGTAAATTTCTAAAACACAAATTAGACATGTAAGGATGAACAATAAAAGACATATACAAACAGTGAACACAAAACACTAACACTTTAAGACAATATGACCAGAGAGATAACCAGGATTAATACCAGATCCTCATGATCCTCATAGGAAAAAAACATAGCCTGTAGCTATTAAATAATTTGACTTTTTCCTGAACTTTTGAACATACCTTGACAGACTGGTGCATACCAAGCATAGAACGTTTCTGGAATATGTCTTTCTTTCTGAGTGGGGCTTTCTTTTCTTCAGACAAATTCATGTCATCCTGAAAATATATACAGTGTAATTGTAATTATAGCAATTATCAAATACAGACTCATCACATTTTTATAATAAATCTAGTATGCTGTCATCTAATAATGGAAACTTATTTGTCCTGAGATTGTCTTTGCAGATCAAACAAAACTAGAGGTTCTAAAGAGCCTGTGTCGCTCACCTAGGTCTATGTGCATTATCATCAATGGACTCTCTTTCCAACATTGTAGACAAGAATAGAATTCATGACAAAAAAATTTTTGTTGATTTTGTATTGCTGATCATTTTGTCTGTTTAGTTTCTCTCTATCTTCTGTAATTTTTGCTCAAAACACAAAAAGAGGGTTAAAAAAAATCCTCATTTAGTGGCAATCACTCCTATGAAGAGTGACAGTCTACTAACTATATCGTCAAAATTTGACTTGTTTGTGGATCTTGCCTTGCTGATCTTATTTGGTTTTTAAAGTTTCTATCCATCTATTATAATTTTTAAAATATAAGGCAAAATGCAAAAAATTGGTAAAAATCATCATTAAAGGGCAATAACTTATTTTTGCTTCTTTAAATTTTTATCTATCTATTATAATTTTTTTAAGATATAAGGCAAAAACGCAAAAAAAATGGGAAAAATCGTTATCAAAGGGAAATAACTATAGTAAGGAGTCGACCATGTTAGACTTATTTGTAGAACTTGTCTTGCTGATCATTTTTGCGTTTTAAAGTTACTCTCTATCTATTATAGTTCTCAAGATAATAGGCAAAAATGAAAAAAAAATGGTAAAATTTGTCATTTAAGGGCTATATCTCCTGTAAGAAGACGTCTGACAGTTTTGACATATATGGACAATTGGTAGAGCTCAACATTCTGAACATTTCTGGTCCTGTCAGAATTTTTCTTTATAAAGGTTTTCAAAACAATAGACAAAACTTGCATTTAACCACTATGTTCTATTTTTAGCCATGTCTGCCATCTTGGTTGGCGGGCTGGGTCATCGGACACATATTTTAAACTAGATATCCCAATGATGATCGTGGCCAAATTTGGTCCAGTAGTTTCAGAGAAGAAGATTTTTGTAAAAGTTAACAAAGACAGACGCCAAGTGATGAGAAAAGCTCACTTGGTCCTTTGGGCCAGGTGAGCTAAAACTGAAGGTACATAATGTACATTTAAAAAGAAGTACAAGACATATCAAATGATTAACAAGAATATCAATGACATATTATATTTCAACAACTTGCTGACTAGATGTATGCATATCTTTTTTCATTGACAGAGAAAACACTATATTTGATAGTTATCTAGTTTCTGGTAAAATAAGCTATATGTTGCTAACTGTGCTGCTCTCTTAAACAAAGCCATCAGGCCAATACAAACTGATCCCCCCCCCCCCCCCCCCAAGCTATATTAAAACCACTAAACATGCAAATAGGGAGGGATTCAAAATTCTGTAAATATATATTCATTGTTAGTTGAAACTGATGTTACAACTGTATCCCAATTTATTAGGATGTAACACATGAACATTTTTTTTTTCTTTTCCGGTAAATGATACATGGCTACCGTTACTTTTTACTGTATTGATCATAGCTGAAATATTTTTATCCTGACTCTGCTGTGCATCAATTTTTTGTTTACAAATATTTTTATGATCAGCCATGCAGAAAGTTTCACCTTTCCTCAGGTGTAAAAAGTTATACTCCAGGTAATCAAAATTCTATGTAATATAGCACCTCTACACCTTACAAAACTTGACAAGGTAATTGATATTGTGTGTACTGGAAAATACATCTTATATTGAACTAGTGGACCTTCAGGTTAATATCCAACATTACCAGGGTCTTGGTATGAAAGAACTACATAATAATCTGTCTTTATGATGTCAGGAACACTTTTTTACGCCTTTAGGTGTTTGTTTATATGGTATTCTAGACCAAAATAAGATATATATATATATATAATCATATCTAATGTTTAACTTTCAATATATCCTTGAACATGATGAACAGAAATGTGAAAGTTCAATTGTCTACTTAACAGTGATATTTTAGTTACTGTATCAACCCATAATGTCATGAATGTACTTTCAAAATATAGTACACTTTATTGTATGACCAATTAGAATTAATGAATAGTACATCATAACTCCTAAAACAGTACATTCATAATATCAAATTATAAAAATAAGAAGATGTGGTATGATTGCCAATGAGACAACTCTCCACACGGACTAAATAACACAGAAATTAACAACTATAGTTCACCCTACGGCCTTTAACAATGAGTAAAACCCATACCGCATAGTCAGCTATAAAATGACAAATGTTAAACAATTTAAACGAGAAAACTAATGGCCTGATTTATGTACAAAATAATGAACGAAAAACAAATATGATATACAGCAACAAACACCAACCAATGAAGACCACTTTCAACATTGAGCCTGGTTTTTTTTCTCTCCTAAATGCATGAAATGCCAGTCTCTTGAGTAAATCCCTTTTCGACTTTACAGTTTGTTCTTATGTTGTGCTGTTACACCACTGTCCTGTGTTACGTGGAGTGGAGGGATGAACGCTTACAAACATGTCATCTCAAGTAAGGATCCTCAGCATGTAATTCAGTGTAATTTAATATTATAAGATTAAACCGTAATAAACGAGGCCATTTATAGTTTTTTCTCTTTTGAATTGTTTCACATTTGTTTCCCAGGACCTTTCATTGCTTACAATAGACTGTATGGGTTTTACTCATTGTTGAAGGCAACTTGTAGTTGATAACATCCTTGTCCTTTGGTCTCTGATTGATAATTGTCTTCTATTTGTTATATTGTATTGTGAGGTTGCCTTCTCTTTGATGTTTATCCTGTATTTCTTTTTTTTATATGGTTGAGTGATACATAACTGTTATATGATTTAGAGATGATATAAAGAACTGTGGCTTTTAGAATAACATCCTTGTAACACAAATCACAATATTATTTGATCTTATTTAAAGTTGTAGAGTTTTTTTTTCAAATTAAAACTTCTCTAATACGTCAAACTGATTTTAATTCTTTTATCTTAAGGAAGTTCTTTCCAAAAATTGTTTAAAATATTTGACATTTTACAGTCTTAATGACATAGGTGAACACATTTACTTCAAAATATGTTATCAACCTTAAGCAATTATAAATACAAAAGACATGCTTTGATTAAAGAGCATGTTTATAAAACTAAGAGATAAGATGGAAGATGATTTAGAACATGAAGCACAGATAGAAACAAGATAAAAAAAAATAAAATCTTCAGTTTATTCAATGCAAATAAAATTGTGGAAAGAAAAGAATGGTTGATTAATTGATAGTTGCTTAAAATCCAATGCAGATACATATTTCAAACAAACAAAAAAAGTAATACAGTTGAAATGAAGAGAGAATAAAATGCTCCGCAGGGCGCAGCTTGATACGACCGCAGAGGTCGAACCCTGAACAGTTGGGGCAAGTATGGACACAACATTCAAGCTTGATACAGCTCTGAATTTGGATTGTGATTAAATATTTGACACAGCATAGGTGTCTGACACAGAATGAATGTGGTCTAAGAACTTAAAAATTTTAAATTGAACATTCACCTATTATGGTCCAATATCCAAAATCTAAATACATGGTTAGATTCAGCATATCAAAGAACCCCAAGAATTAATTTTTGATGAAATCAAACAAAGTTTAATTTTGAACCCTTTTGACCTCAATGTGGACAAAGTTGATAACGGGGCCCAAAAATCAAAAATCTAAATACATGGTTAGATTCAGCATATCAAAGAACCCCATATATTCAATTTTTGTTGAAATCAAACAAAGTTTAATTTTGGACCCCGATTTGGACCAACTTGAAAACTGGGCCCATAATAAAAAATCTAAATACATGTTTAGATTCAGCATATCAAAGAACCCTAAGAATTCAATTTTTGTTAAAATCAAACTAAGTTTAATTTTGGACCCTTTGGACCTTAATGTAGACCAATTTGAAAACGGAACCAAAAATTAAGAATCTAAATACACAGTTAGATTCGGCATATCAAAGAACCCCAATAATTCAATTTTTGATGAAATCAAACAAAGTTTAATTTTGGACCCTTTGGACCTCAATGTGGACCAATTTAAAAACGGGGCCCAAAATCCAAAAACTAAATACACGGTTAGATTCAGCATATTAAAGAACCCCAAGAATTCAAGAATAAAACCCCATTGAAATTGGTCAAGAAATAAGCAATTTATATGAAGTATCTTCTTTTGCACAATACTGTGCAATTAAATATTTCTTGCTATTGCGCAATACTGTACAATTGACAATTTCTTGCTATTGCGCAATATTGTGCTATTGGATATTTCTTGCTATTGCGCAATACTGTGCAATTGAAGATTTCTTGCTATTGTGCAATACTGTGCAATTGAAAATTTCTTGCTATTGCACAATACTTATTATATAATAATTTACACATCCTGTTTGGTGTGTATCTCCTACCATATCATTATTATTTGCTTTTAAATATAAATCCGAAATAACCAACTTAAAATGGAAAATTTTAAAAAAAGAAAAAAAAGGAAAAAAAAAATCCCCCCCCAAATTTTTTGAACCCCCTTATGATTCATCACCCCCAAACTCAATCCCAGCCTTCCCTTTGTGGTATGGTACCTTGCAGTACAATTTCAGAGAGATCCATACACTTGAACACAAGTTATTGTCTGGAAACTAGAAAAATGTGTTTTTTGGCCCCTTTTTGGCCCCAAATTCCTATACGTTTTGGGCAATTACCCCAAAACTCAAACCCAGCTTTCCCTTTGTGATATGGAACCTTGTAGTACAATTTCCGAAAGATCCATACACTTACACACAAGTTATTGTCCTGAAACTAGAAAAATGCTTGTTTTTTGCCTCTTTTTGGCCCCTAATTCCTAAAATATTGACGCAATTACCCCCATCATCAATCCCAGCCTTTCCCTTAGTGGATGATACCTTGTAATACAATTTCAGT